AAATGTCAGCACTATTATTATAGCGTCGTCAAAAATTCATGGTGTAACATATTGTCAAATAGGCCTATTATTATGTCTTCAGCTATCCGACATAGGCTCTCCACTCTCCAACTTTTGCACTAGGACTTTATTAATTTGTCTTGACAGATCAATATTGAAGTAAACACCTGTTCGTTGTATTCTAGAAAATCCTTTGATAGATAGGCCTAATATTCAAATATACCTGTGGGCGGTGTCTATATATTTTAAAAGGTTTACTTTACACCGCTTGAGCTGGGACAAGAGAACTTTTGAATATTCAAAACTAACTGTGACACAATTAAACGCCTGTTTTAAGAACATTTGGTTTAAAAAAATGTTCTCTATAAAAAAATAAGCAAGTACGACAATTAATGGTGAGGGACCAATCTTGCACTTTTGTAGTTTTTTGTTGTTTTTTTATTTATTCCGTTTTTGCAACCACGGATGATGATTGCCTAAAAATAAAACAAACTAACAAAACAAACTAGATTCTACATCTAAACCAAGATGCCATGGCATAAGAGCATCGACTCTGAACAAGAGTGGGTTACACACTGCTCTTCACTTTTTTTACTCGTAAGCTATGAGTGGCGCAACTTATTGTCAAATATTTCCTCAACTATCAAACATAAAGTTGCATCTTTTGCACAATGGCTTGTATCAATTTGTCTTAACAGATCAATATTTTTAGAAACACCTGTTAGCTTTATTCTAGAAAAATCTAGAAAACACTAATAAAAAATCCCAGTGGGTGGTTTCTACAGATTTTTAAAGGTTTACAGCAGGGACAATATCGCTTTTAAAAGCAAGTCTGTCAGGGTTTGTTTTTTTCTTCTAATTGTGACACTACGCATATTGAAGACATGCTTTGAGAACCTTTAGTGCAAGAAATGTTCACTGCAGAATTAATTTCTTGTAATAACTTCTCCTGTTAAAAATTGTCATTGCAACGAAGGCAATATGCGTGTATACCAAGGAGATTAAAAGTAGTTCTAAGCTCCTTGGTGTATACAAAACGTGTGTGAGAAGCGGGGTACTGTGAAAAATCCCATTTTCCGCGTGACGGAGATTTGTAGCATTTTATATAAATATATGAAGAAACATTGTTGACCTAACCTCAATTAATGTGGGAAAAATATGTTTCAGTTAAGACAAATTGATACAAACTCTTAGCTCCTCTCGACACTTATCTTGGTCCGATAGAATAGGCTAACACTAACATTGTCACCTTAGCAGAGACTGTGCCCACCATTTCGGAACTTCACGGTGACCGTAAAGATGGTTCCAGAAGGGAACGGGATAGAGGGTGCCTACGCCCCTCGTGACTCATTGGAGCAGATGAAGATAGGATTAGATTCTAATTCTTATATTACTAAACGCAATCCGCATAATCACTCATCATCACCATTATTTCTAAAATCATCATTGCTCTCAGATCAATGACTTACATCTATAATCCTTGAATCCCTATCTGTAGCAGTTTATACATGTCATACTAACTACTCTCGTAATACACTATTGGACACTATCATAGGGCCAATGCACTTTTTCTACTAATCAGATGAGGTCAATTTCATATTAATGGGCAAGGGATACAAAATATATATATATGTACGAAGTATGGGTGACATTGATTTACTCGTGAAAGAGATATTTGAGGATAAGTTGCGCCACAAAATTTTGACTGCACTATAATTATTATAATGAGAGCTGTTCGTGGGGAGGGGGGGGGGACTTCAGTGACTAAGTGAGTAATGAGTTCAGACTCAAAATATGTCAAACAAGTGTCGTTGACATGGGGTTCAGGTGGATGGTCACTGGGGTGTGCAAGACGCGACAACTCTAGATGCAAAAAAACCCAAACAACAACAAACAAACAGGGCGCTGCACAGGGGCGACCAGCAACGGCCTGTTTGTGAAATTCTTATGTATTGGTATAATATCATATATGCATGTACGTTTAGAAGCTTAGTGTATTTGGGTATTTCTAATTATGTATTTATCTATGTTTGCCATTGTAACCTATATTTCCAAACGGGGATCAATAAAAATGTAATTTATGTAGGGCTATTAATTAATAATGTATTTATTCATTTGTTTATAATCTGTGCAGATTATTTGAAGGATCACACATTCTTACCGGTATCTAGATTAGAATCTTATGAAGTTAAGAAAGACGGCATCCGACCAAGGCACTTCTGTCACAACATCAGTCTACAGTACCAAGGTCATCATCGTTGTCTATTTTCACCCTGGATGAGGGTACAGGCCTCAGGAGCAAACACTTTTTACCTTTTTCTAACCAAGGCTAGTCTATTAATTGATATTATTCCCATAGCGTCTTCTCACTTCCCACGTTTCGGTATAGATCTATGTATTATAATTCCCTGTCACGTTTCTCCAGTCTTCAGCTTGGCTTTCCCCTTGATCTCACAATACCAGGGTATTGTTAAACGATCTTACTTGTTAAGAGTTAAAAAAAAGTAGGCTATAATATGCTATAGACTTTGAGAAAACGTTACTGATCAAGTAACTTTTGTTGTTTATTTTTAAATGTTCAGGAATACTGACCTCATCGACATTTTAGTTAGGAAGCCATTCTTCTTAATTATGCCTAATTTATTACAGCATTTACTTATTAGCCACTTGCCCTGCATACCCCCTCCCCTTCCTTTAAAAAAAAACCCCCAAAAAACCCCTAAAAAAATGAAGCAACCAAAATAGCAGTGATTTTAACAAATCACGTTACACAAACAGAATAAATGAAAAGCGACATAGCGCACAAGCTCCGCAGTCAAAGTTGACCGTGCGCGTCTTGTGGCGTGGTGAGATTTATTATACGGTACGTAGTGCGGTCAAAAATTCATGGCGCAACTTATTGTCAAATATCTCCCTAACTATAAAACATAGACTTTTCAACTTTTGCACAATGACTTATATTTATTTGTCTTAACAGATGGATATCTTTTGAACCACCTGTACGCTGTATTCTAGAAAATTCCATAATAAATATATTTTACAAATAAAAAATCCCAGTCGATGGTTTCAACAGATGACAAAGAGCTGGAACTTAATGGCTCTTTTAACAGCAAGCCCATCCTACTTCTTCAAATCGCTATGCTACGTTAATAATGGACCTCGTGTTTTTGAGAACATATAAGTGCAATTAATGCTGCGGAATAAAAATTATTTTTTACTTCGTTTCTGCAACCATAGATTACATTTTACTATAGATCTAGTTCAGACCAAAACGTACTGGCATCAGCGTATCGCTACTAAATAGGAGTGGACTACACTATCCTTTGGTCCTTTTACCCGTACTTTGATACAAATAAAAATATATTGAGAGTTGTTTGTGATAATCTATTGAGATTGCTTGAAGAATCGTACTTTTTTTATAACTCATCATCAATGCCTTCCATTCCTGGCAGGGTATAGGCCACATAAGCTCCTTCCATTTATCTTCCATTTATCTCTGTCCTCGGCCATCCTTCCAAGCTTGTTCGAAGTGAGCTTCATCTCTCTCATGTCCCCCTTTCCTCACATCCCCTCCATGTTTCCCGTGGCCTAGCCCTGCCTCGTGCTCCCTGTGGGTTCCACTGCAACGACTGTCTTAAGGAGCTGTCTTGTGATGTTTCCGCTGGGCTTTCTGAAGGTGTGTCCCATCCATCGCCCCTTTTCTTAGTCCTTTTTCTATTTCTATATCCGTTTGTCTTGTCCTTTCCCACACCTCTTCATTTCTTATTCTATCCTGCCACTTAATTCTTAGGATACGCTTACTGGCATCATATAAAGTCAAAAATGACGGTATATACACCAACACGTACCTTCCTATAGCAGTTTATCAGTCTACGATTCTTCTTCACTGTCCTGCTGCTTTTCATCTGACTAGTCATAAAGTATGGGCAGAAATTCTTTTACAGTGTCACCTGTCATTTATCAGAAGATCGTAATAAATTAAGCATAGGTTAAGCGGTACCACTAAAATGTGTCATTGGTGAGCTATGACACAGGCCACATACGTAGCCAAAGCAAAATGTGTGTGTGAAGCGAGAATACTGTGAATATTTTCCGCGCGACGCAGATATAATTTGTAGTATTTTGTATAGTTATGAAAAAAAGGTTTTATAGTAAAATTCTAGCCTCTATTGTTGTGGAAAAAATATTATCAACTTCAGACAAATTGATACAAACTGCTGTGCTAAGTGTTGGTGACATTGATTCACCCGTTTTAAAGATACTTGAACATAAGTTGCGCCACGAATTTTTGACCGCACTATTTGACATACACCCCTTCCGTGCAGAAAAATAAAAATGATCTAGTATTATGGTGCAAAATTTATAAAGCCTCATTATATAGTCTAGGCTACTCATTTATAATGCTTTTGATTGTTGAGCCAGGGAGTGAGCTAATTAGAATACTTTATAAAATTGAAACAGTATAAAACTTTTTAAACCATCAATGAACATTTATTAAGAGTAGCCTAAGCATAATTGTCCTATCCCTAAAAACATAGTGTTTGTGCTTTATTGATTTTTATGTTTTATGTTTCGTATGTTGTGACGAATGCATTTGTATTGTGACTATTATCATCAACATTGCAGAAACATGATAAAGCGGCCTAGCCTACAAAACCACGTCCAAGTGCAAGTACATGTAGGCCTAGCCTATAGACAAAAGAGTCAAGGCCAAACGAACATTTTCACGACAATCCAGATAACGTGAAAATGTCAAATTTAAGATTGTTTGCGTTACACAATGTCTAAAAAGGAGCAAAGTTCTGAAGAAATTGGCCAAAGGCTATTTTTATATATTAGGCATATCGGAAGGACGTGTCGCGATTAATTTTTTTTGGTACTGAAGTGGCAGTTAAAGGCCAAGGCTACCCGCCAAATATGCAGAATATACTAGCGCTCGGGGTTAATGCTTTCAGGGGATTTTATTGGTCTACATTTCAACGAAAAAGAACGATAACCAATCAAAACACTCGTATCACTGCCGTTTGGTGCGATCTCTCGATATCCACCATTTTCCTCGTGCGCACACTGTTGTACAGAAAGACAACAAAGAGGAATTTCAGTATTTATTGGCGAGGTTCTCGTCGCTGTTTAACAGTCCAAGGTACTCCCAGTTATTAGGTACGTCAATGATATGTTCTGAGCTTTCATTTAATTGTTTTGTGTCATTTTAAGGTACAGTTTGAGGTAAGTGTCAGACCATGCCATGAGATAGCAGATAGAGAGTAGGCTAGAAGTCTACTTTGGGACTTCGTCGGAGGAGGCAACCAATGAAGTGTGCGAGTCGCATTCTAAACACTCGTGTGTCTGCCGGCAATTTGGTTTCATGTTGTCATGTATGCTAATCAGTAATTGTCTATGTCTAAAAATGAAAGCTTATGTCACCATTATATGTTATTCGAAATTTAAGATGGCATTGTGAACAGATTCAAGATTTTTTTTACTTCGCATTTTTCCCCGCTGTTCAGCGGAAGCCCGAATTCCGCTCCCCGTGCATTGCCTGACCGGAGTCTGAGTAACCGAGCACCAGTTTTTTCTGGGTGTGGATATTGTGTGAGCAAGAAGTTTGAACTATTCTTTACAATTCTTTCATAATATTCAATTTTTCTTAAGTTTTGTGTTGAGACCTCCATCCCAAACGGAAAAGGACTAACATGTAGTAGGCTAATGTGTAGATTCTAGGTGGGTTATCTGTCTGGGACAGAATTTTACCATGGACCATGCCATGCTGGTAGTGCTGTTAGTGATTGCAGTGGATGGATGACGCTCCAAGTCGGGTAAAGCCAAACCAGTCTTGTCTTGTCTTAGTCTATTCTAAACTCTACCAATAATATATATGACATCTATTCTAGATTTAAGTTGCGGAGTGATTTATCCTCAAATAGAACTCTTTTTATTTGAGATTAATAATTTAATTATGAAGTGCAATTTATGCCATACCTTTAAGATAAAGATTAGTGGGTATTTTTTTACTTTCCCTCCCATCTCACACTTTGCTCTACCAGTTGTCCATTTTCTATTCAATATTGATGCGCTTAACATGAACGGTCCGTAACACGAATACAACTTCATTTCCGTCGCAAATTAAAAGTTTTTGAAATATTTGTGATTGTTCGTAACGATCCCTGTTCGTAATCGAGACGTGTTTCGGACCAGTCGGGGGGGGGGGGGGGTTCCAGGGGGGCCTGCCCCCCACCCCCCTCCCCCCAGTGGTAAAAGAATATCTGGGTGGTTTAACCCGTAATTTGATATGGCCACCTCTATTCTCACCCGGGATGAGAATAGTGCAGGCGAGTCTTTTGGCTATTCTCACCCGGTGCGCGTTTACCGTTATAGCCTAGATCTAGGCCAACAAATTTTGCTTTCACCCTAAACCACAGAATTCTACACTGTGATAACAGAAAAATTGTAGAATTCTGTGCCTTGAACAAACGTTCCATTACAACTGTAGCCTACTAAAAGCGTACAATTTTGTCTGTGACTGTGGGCAGTGGAGAGAGAGAGAAAGAGAGAGAGAGAGAGGAGTAGCGCGAGAACTTCCGGTCAAAACAAAATGGCGACCCGCGTTGTTCGGCTCGATTCGAAAAGTTAAATAGCCGTAGCATCATTGTAGACAACCAAATTAATTTACTTTTGTGTTTTAACATAATTTTTTAACTTTGTTTTGGTCAATTTGATCGTCCACACCGATAGACAGTATTCAGAAAGAGAGAGAGAGAGGGGAGGAGTAGATCTTAGGAGAACTTCCGGGCAAAACAAAATGGCGACCCGCGTAGTTCGGCTCGATTCGAACAGTGAAATAGCCATAGCATCTTTGAAGACGATCAAATTAGCTTACTTTTGTGCTATAACGTAATTTTTTCTTGGCTTTTATCAATTTGATCATCCACACCGATAGACAGTATTCCAAAATGAGGAAAAGCAGGTCTTGTTTCGCACTGGGTGAGAATAGCCTACGCTGGCAAGTCTCACCCGGGGTGAGAGGTAGATCGTTTTTCTATTCTCACCCCGGATGAGAATAGCCACTTCCATTTGATATTTTACTGTTAGATCTAGATTTGAAATTTTCCTGAAAATAATTGATTTGCGACAGTTTTAGTGGCTTTATGTGTGATCTGCAGTAAACAATACTGCAGTTTGACCCCCGAAGCAGTGCTTCTGTGTGCGGGAGTGGAAGTAAAAATTTACCGATTAGTGCTTAGTAATCACTTGTTAGCCCCACAATCCTGTATCTTTTCATCAAATTCAAATGGCACTGCCCATCTTTTCAAGCTGACACATGCGGCTAAACGTAGAATGACGCACCTGCTGCCTGATTGGCTACTAATTTTAGTAATGTGATGTCATCACATCTTGGGATACCCAGAGACTATTTTTAGAGGGCTGTGGAGGTGCCAATTTTAAAGATTCTCTACCACACGATCCATGGGTCTCAATATTCCGCTTTTTAGCGGATTTCCGCTACCGCCATTTCCTCCGCTAAACTCCAGTGCTTGGAGGGGCACCTCCCACTGGGTGACTGGGGGCCCCTGGGAATTTGAAAAAAATCTCAGAGCTGTAAATTGCCTCGGGAATGACCCGGGAAGATACATTCTCGAATATTTGAAAACGAAATCCGATAACGTCTTTAATTCCATTTTTGCCAGTCGTGATTGTGATGTTTGTTCGGCGTTTCCTGGTCTGAAAGTACGTTTCAGGGGAACAGGCGGCTATATGCAGCAAATGGAAGTGAATGTGTGACACCGAGGCTCAATCGGGAAAATCAAGGTCTACTTTCCCTTTCGTTACCACCCTGAAATTTACTGGTGATAGTCTGATAACGCAACATTTGTAACATGCAGGTTGTGCATTACAAAGGTGGTGTCACCATGAAAATAAATCAATATTCGTCTCCGTGCTGTCACTTGTGGGGAGAAAAAAGAAAAGAAAGTTATACAAGCGTCTTGGTGGGCTCGTCATTGTGACCGGTCATTGAACCTGCGCGCGTTCTGAGCGCTACAAAGTACAGGACTCCGGAAGAGGGGAGATTATTGATTTTTTAAAAAGATACTGGGGAGGGGGGGTGGAGGGGGCTGAACGCAACACCAGAGGACAAAAAATTGAACTTGGACTCCGAAGCAAATTTTTTGTATCGAAGTATATACAGACCTGGTAAGGGAAATCTTTTGTGATATCGGAAAGTTTCAGCGCCCAGACCCGGTAGTGTGTGTGTGTGCGTGTTTTCATATTGAATGCACGCATACCCTACAAAACTTCCCACTCATGGTGCAAGTGAAAAACTGAGTTGGCAACGCTCTTTTTCTTCCTAGCCAGGTGGCACCATATATCTAGACAAAGGGACCTCAAGTTGAAGAAATTCCCTGTGTGGGGGTAAAATTTCTTTTTTAACCCTCTGCGTGCGCATCACTACCACTGGTCTTGGTGACTCAAACCTCCCTTCCGCACGCATCGCAACCACCGGTCGTGACCCGACATGAGTGTAGAAACTATACTGCTGACATGAGAATAGCCGTTTTTTTAAACTGCTGGTGACTACAGTCCACCAGTGCAATGTTTATTAGTGCTGCTGGCTGCGCATTTTGCAGTCGGGGATCGGTTTGGAGTTTTTTAACGGCAATTTTCTGGGATATTGTTTACAGTTTTCAAAAGGTCGGATTCGTCAGCTGATTTAGACAGATTTACCCAACATTTTTCTGGAATCGGATGACAGTGTTAAAGAGTTAGAAGGATTAGGTCCACAAATAAAAGATTTAGATCTTCATGTGAATGATGGAGTATATTGTGTTGTAGATCTAACGAGGTTAATCCCAGAAGGGGACGTTGATATTCCTGCTGATCTCCAAGCAGGCTGGACTAAAAATGATGAGGATTTTGATACCAACAACATCATAAAAAAGCACATTTGACCATACATAAGGGTATTTCATCATTTAAAACACATTTTTCCTTCTTACTGTAATTAGAAATGATGATAAATAAAAGATATGAGCTTTTTTAATAACCATGTTGAAAATTAGCATTTTTCTAAAGTAAACCCAGCACTAAAGGGAAGTAAGGTAAAAATGGCTTAGAGCCAAGAGGTTTAAAAGGTTCTAATTACTCTTGGAGATTGAAATGATTTATGTTTTGCTGAAAACTGCTCTTGCTGGTACATGGTAAAACCCTTTTCACTTACATCTCAGCTGCAATAACTTAATCCCACTGTACCTGTATCTCACAGTTCTTACTTGGTTTTGTTGAGCTGCTTTTGTTTGACAAAACTGATCAGAGATCAAGGGATGTTCTGCTGTTGAAGATGTATAGAGGGTTTTTTTGTTTGGTGTTTCTATTTTTCAAAGATTTGTAGAGATATTCCTGGTTTTTGAAGTGAGGTGAACAGAGCTGATGTACTTATGCCTGTAAAAAAAACAACTATATGAGGTTAAATTGTGAACCCAATTGATTGAAAATATATGCGTAACTTGTCGTTATGACTATTTCAGATTATTTCAGATAAAGGTTGTAGGAAACGTGTGCTGATGAATGGAGATATGAGTGACATGTGGTGGGTTGGGCTTTTTTACCAATAATGTTCTTGCTGTTGCATTTTTGAGATTCATGAATTGTCACAGATGTTCGCCAGCCTCAGACTATACATATTGTATTTCAGTGAACTGTGCATCATGTCTGAGCCAGAAAAGTGAGTATACTACATGGCCTCTGTGTCTCTCTTTCTCTGTGTTACGTATATACCCTCGTGTAAATGGTTGGGGATGGGGATTCTGATGCTGTTTTTTGGGGTGATTTAAATTTTGGTACAAATTTGAAACTTCCAATGTCTGTTCTTATTTGTGGCTGGGCTTCTCTCCAATTAAAAAAAAAAAATTGGCATGTGCAGCTTTGAATTGATGAATAATGCATGTTGCTTCTGTGCTTGACATTCTTTCCTGTCTGACAGTAAATTTTTTGTTTTGTAAGCCTCCTGTTTTTTAATATGGGGATGGGTGGGGGGGAGGGTATAAGGGAAGCGTATTTTAAAGCTTACAGGAATCAGTAGGCGGCGGGCATACGTTTCTCATGTTGTAAAATGTTTAAGTAGTTACAGGTCATTGGAATCCATGTACAAGTTTTAACCAAGGGGGATTTTGTCCTGTAACTTGCTATACTTGTGTGTGTATGTTGTGGGGGTGGGGGCGTTGTTAAAGTTTGTTCCCAATTCAGTGTATCTTGGGTGTCTTTGACTGGTCTTTTTGTCTCTTGCACTTTTAAGATTTATTTTTTATTTCCCATTCAAGTCCTTCCAGCGAAACAGTCGAGGATGTTGAGGAAGAGCTTGATGGTGAAGCAGGTCAGTTTGCCCATTTTTTAAATAGAAAACAATAGTGGGCTGACAAATATAGGCCTGCCAACCTTCCCGATTATGTCGGGGAATTTCCCGAATCAGATGTTCTGCTCCCGATTCCCTGATAAGTTTTGATTTCCCGATTTCGGAGGCGTGCTATATTATAATTATTTGCGTGAGAATGACGAGTGAAATTGACGATAGGGGAACTCGTGTGTCACTAAAATATCCAAGTTCACTGTTTTATATGTATAATACACCCATATACACTCTATTAATATAATAAATATGAATAGGTTGATTGTGACAGAAATATTACCTGGTTCCAGCGCGCTGCCCTGATTTCCTTATTTTGCATTTTCCAAAGTTGACAGGCCTGCATAATAATATATGTTAAACTGTTCCCATGAAACTAAAACTTATTATGTAATGCATATTTATTTGCAAGAATATTTAAAAAGTGCAGCTCAGATGCATTGTCAAAGGAATAGGGGATAGGTTTTATCTCGCTTGGTTTGTTTGTCATTGGCCTTGGGAGAAATATGTTTTACAGTGTTGTATTTTAGGTTTGGAGGTGAAATGCTTGTGGTGATCTGTAGTATGTTTTTTGAAATGCCTGAAGATATAGCTTGTTAAAACTTATGATTGTGGTTGTAATTTCATGTTATATTAAAATAACAAGTGATTGACAGTATGTTGGCAAGCTGTTCAAGTGTTCTAAGCCCAGAAAGCAAGGATTAACTGTTTGATTTTTTGAAAATTTGAACCTTCATTAATTATCTTTTGTTCTCTTTCTTTTTACATATGAAATTTGAATTTCGACAAAATGTTTTTTTTTGGGAAATGCAACCGACACCACAGATTAATTTACTGCAATTTTTTTAAAATCTGATCAGCCGGCCCATGAGTTTTATTTTCTTGTGCCTTTGAGCTGAACTGGATATTTTAGATAAATGTGATAATTGTCTGATTGAAAGGACTTTTTGCTAATGTGCATTTTCTTTTCTTGCCCTTAGTTGAGGCTGGGGACAGTCAGGCCATTGCTGCTCAGTTGATGAAAAACCCTGGAGTGCTGGCCGCCTTGCAAGACAAACTCTCCTCAATTGTGGGCTCTCCTTCAGGATACATTCAAAGGTTGGTGATCAGGAGATAAAGCTGGAATGCATGTTTGTTTGTTTCCTGATTTCAGTCTTCTTCCTCTTCTTAAATTTCCTAATACTTCTTCATTATTATTTCGTTCGTAGAACGGGTACTTTTACTAGTGTTTTTAATGTGGATGATTGTAGATAGCTGATTTATAGCTATAGCCACTTTTCTCTCTCTCTCTCTCTCTTTAAAAAAAAAAAAATACCACCTTTGGCTCACATGTGTGATGATTTTCTATATTGCTGCTATTTAAAAAAAATATTAAATTTTACTTTGCTTTGTAATGAAATGGCACAATTACTAAATCCTTGTAATGCTTTGTTTCAGTCTACCAAAAGAAGTCAAAAGACGCATCAAAGCTCTGAAAAAGCTGCAGAATGAGATTATTAATGTAGAGGCAGAGTTTTATAAAGAAGTAAACTTGCTGGAGTTGAAATATGCCCCCAAGTACACAGCCCTGTTTGAAAAGGTGAGCATTGGAATACAATAGCACAGAAATTCTCTCTCTAATTTCAAGATCATTTTCCTTGTGTATATCCTGTTCCTGTGCAAAAGAAAATGTCTGTCAATTAACGAATTCTCGGTAACAGTGGAAAAACCAGTTTGTGGAAATCCTGTACATTAGTATGAGTGTTAGTTTTACCTTGATAGAGGTGTTCGCAGGTCTGATTCCAAAGTTTGGGGGTGGGGGGTAGTGTAAAACATTGCAACATTGAACACTATTGGTATGTTTCATAGATGTGGATTGGTGGTTTGCGGGTGCTCTGGTATGGTTCGTCCTTCTTTCCTATCAAACATCAATTGTCCTCATCTCGTTCTTTTTTGTATTTGTTACTCTCTTGTAATACTTCTAATCTTTGGCATACATAGACCATATTGTGTTGCTAGTGCTGTAAAACTTACTAAAACTAAAATAAATGAGATGCCCATCTCATTTGTATGATTGTATTGACAAAGAACTATTCCTTTCCACTTTCTTCTTTCAGAGGAAAGAGGTTGTGAGTGCAGCACGAGAACCCACAGATGAAGAGTGTGACTGGCCTAGCGATGAGGAGGAGGAAGATGAGAAAGATGAAGAAGGAAAGCTTGCAGTGAGTGTTAAGTTTAGATTGTAGTTTCACCTTTTGATAAACATAATTTCTTTTATTTTTTATTGTTTCTATTCATACATTTCAGAAAGAAGTTAAAGCAGAAATCTGCACAGATTTTAATGGGCTATTTTATAGCATCAAAGTCTTGGTAGACTACATATAGACAGGTGCCTTCTTTTTAGTAATGAATGAGTGTTGAGAGTTCCCATATATATGACTTGTTTTTAGTTCATGTTATAAAGTCAGAACAAAACCCATTGAGTAATTTAAGTCTTCGGTTTTGTGTGGCGTTCTTTGCCCTTGTGCCACAGATGAAGGAAGTTGAAAGTGCAAGAGAATGTTAGGAGATTAGTGGATTCACAAATTTCTTTGGGGCCCTTACTGGGAGTGCCATGGTTGTTGTAGTTCATGATGCTTTGATGAATGTCTCGTTTCATCTTCTTGGGTGAAATAGGACTGCAGCCAATTTATCATGAACAAACCTGTGACTTTTGCAATGATCAGTGTCTTCTGTTGCTGCTATGTTTTTGATGTGCCTTCTGGGTGCATTGATCTCCAATGTAGCCCGATTCTCAACAGGGAGAGCTCAAGGACAAGACTAGTCTAGAAGGCGCCAAGGAGGCTGGTGGCGATGGAGAGGAAAAGAAAGCTGGTAAGTGGGGTGTTTTTTTCTATGGGTTTACGTTTTAGAGTGGGACAAGCAAATGAAACAGTTAAAGTGAGTTAATTGTTTTATCAAAAGTAATATAATAGGATCTTGAGTCGTGATAGCAAAAATAACGTAAAAGATTGTTAATTTGTCACTTTATCCCCCCCCCCCTTTTTTTTTTTTGGATACCTAAGAAAGAATTTTCAATTCTAAGAATTCTTTTTGAATTTTAATAATCGATTCATAAATTTAAAAGTGGACCACGAATAGCAGATTCTCTAAGAAAATCTACATCTCTGTAATTAATTGGAGTGTTTAAAAGAAACTTGGCTACCCAATGTGTTTTTTGGGTGGAGAAATCATTTCTGCAGTTAGATTTACTAACCATTTCGTAGTTATTTTGTTATAATTAATATGTTGGTGTACATATTACGATTTTTCGAAAACGGACGTTGGAATGAGAGCATTTTATTTATAGTTTCGTATGAAAACATGGGTTCTTTAAGAATGTGTTTTTAACAGCATGACTAAATAATGGCAAAGCTTTCTTTGATAACTTTAGACCATGCCAATCTTAAATATAATTTAATTCAATCTAGCATGCCGTACAATTAAAAACTTTTTTTCCCCGTTGAGATGCGAACACCCCAAGGCGAGATAAGGTCACTTTGGAATACCCCCACTGCGATATTACGGGTGAACAGAGAAAAACAACAGGATGCGCGCCCACCATTGCCCTATTTCAAGTGACCAATGAAGGCGCTTGGAATAGTCTTGCAGGGATTTGTAGGTCACATACATTTGCCGAGGGAGGGGGGGGTGTGGGGAATGTCCATTCTCCATGCGAAGCCGCTTTGGACAGGGGGATGGTCGGTCGTGCATTTATGATCGGGTCTAAACTACTTGCCACAGAACGTTCAAATTTGAGGACACTATAGAGGAAAGAAAGGTCTCTTACCTTCTCGACGTTGAAAAACAAGCTCCTTATAGTTTTCGGTAAACCCGATACGAAAGTATTCCCGACACCAAAAGTATGGATTAATTTATGTGTATAAACTTAAACGTCCTCATATCATTAGTTTGCCTATTTTGTGATTGGTTGCCAAGTTTCATTCACAGTTGTCTAGATATATAGAGCAGACCGAGGTTGAGAAAGTTAGTCACTTACGTTCTGACCCTGTCCAAGAATTTCACCTGCAAACGGGGACCAAAATTTTGTCGTGCGCAACGATTGGCATTGCTACACTATTTGACTTACTCCTCTACATCTGATATGCTTTTTGATATTTGACTTTCTTTTTTAATCTTTGTTACAGAAGAAGATACGAAGGGTATTCCAAGTTTCTGGCTCACAATCTTCAAGAATGTTGATATGCTCTCAGAAATGGTGCAGGTATGTTATTGTCCACACTGTTATTATAAAGAATGACTACGAGACAAGGGGAATCCCAGGGGTGACCTGGCAATTTTAGAAAGTCTGTAAATTTATGCTGGAACTTGATTTTGTTCACCATAATATGAGAACCAATTCTAATGAGGTCAATAAGTTCCCTTCTTGCTGTGAATATTTGTTATTCTTTTTTTATTCGCAGAGTGAGTTTTGCATTAACACATGGCTTTAACAGAAAAGAATGGGTCATATTGAGGCTGAACTCTCAATTGGGAAAATCAAAATGTACTTTCACTTTCGTTAGAAATAAGTAAGAATAGACTGATGTGCCAAAGTTACTCTATACATCAAAGCTGTGTGTGCAATTCATTGTCAGGAAGTGTATTTTAATATACTAAAATGTCTTATTAAATGAGTGTCTGTGCTGATAGTTTTCAGAGCCTGGAATAACAAGTGTTAAAAACCCAAAACAAAACTTTAAAGACATTTTTGAAGTCTGTTTATATTATAGTGTGCACTGTCACTGCTTTGTACCCCTGAAAAATTTACCCTTGAAAAATGTCCTAGTCGGTTTGACAGTCATTCTGAAATCATAGGGGCTTGTGTTCTCTGAAGCCGATGCTGGAAAGAGTTTATGAAAGCAGGCAGCCCTTCTGTGTCGTCTAGTTTTCTATGCTGGCTGTCAATGACTAAGTGTATACCTTCCTTGGAGTGTGTATGACAAGAAATTTACTCACCCTGGATGTGTTTCTGTTGATTGGTTATGAAAATATCTTAACATCAAGATTTCTACATATTTGTGGATTTACTTTGTTGGACTGAAAACATGCAAATGGGTTTTGTTTGTATTTTCCTCAGGAACATGATGAACCAATCATGGCACATTTACAGGATATTCAAGTTGTCATCCACGACAAAGATCCTGTTGTAAGTGTTTCCTTTTGAAAATATGTTTGGTGTGTTTTCTATGGGATGTGGTTGTTTGTAGTTCTATGCTGGTTATGTATTTGCTGTTACTGAGACAATTCATATTTTGTTTCTTTAATTGTTGACACTGATTTCGTTTGCTTCAGTGTAATATGTTTTAACTTGGTAGAGGTAATGAAGTGCTCTATTTTATTTAGGGAAGATCTATTGAGTTACTTTTTTGCGTTGTATGGAGGCGTCTTGTGTAGTTTCTCAGTCCACATTGTTTTAAATTGTTTTTCATGTTGACTTCATTCACTTCGTTGTAATGTTCATTTCAACTTGGTACTGGTAGTTTATAAAGTGCTCAATTTTTTTTTTGAAGAGCAGAGATATCGAGCTACTTTTTTCTGGCTTTTCAAGGTGTTTAAGGTCAAATTCTGAAAAATACCAGTTTTATTCTGGAGAAATGTCAGTGGTGCTTTACAGTCAGCATTGTGAGTTCTATGATTTTCCCCTTAATTTCTATAAAGTGGTTTAATGCTCACAATGCGCTTTCCATTTGAAAATATGTGGACCGTTGGTTCTCTTCTCCCCCTCTCCTCCCTAATGCTAGCAGTTTACGTAACTTGTTCTTCACCATGTGCTTATTTCATATATTGATCCTCTCTTTGCAGGGGTTCTCATTAGAGTTCCGCTTTGAGCCAAATGAGTATTTCACAGAGACTGTTTTAACCAAGCGGTATGAAATGAGGTATGAGCCGGACCCTCAGGATCCTTTTGCATTTGAAGGCCCAGAAATCATCAAATGCACTGGGTAAGTGAAGTGGAATTCTTTGTCAGCCTTTGTCTCATCTCTTTTTTTTGTGTGTGTGTGTTTTTTGGGGGGTTTTCTTTCCCAGATTTTTACTTGTGTAGAAATTTGAATACACTTGACTTGGGAGCAGCTCAGAAAAAAATTACATGTTTCAAGACATCTGTACATGATTTTCCAGACTGTCAACTTGGAATGGGAAATTACATTTTTTTGTGTAGCTGGCTGGTTATGGAGTGAAAATATTCTTTTCTTCTTTGTTTCCATTGATTCTCTTATGCAGTAGAAATAAATTCAGTGAACGTTGGGTATGATGTTCTTGACGTTTATTTTTTCTGCTTCCCTTATATGTTTTAGTTGTCTTCTACGATATTGGTCAATTCACACATCAACAATAGAATTACTGTGATTTTCCACTGTCTGTTGTGTTCTTAGGTTTTTTTTCTTGTAAATTCATTTTGTTGAAGTGTCATATGACTCGTGTTTTTTCAGTTGCACAATCACTTGGAACAAAGGCAAAAATGTGACGGTGAAACAAATCAAGAAGAAGCAAAAGCATAAAGGACGGGGACTCACCAGAACGGTGACCAAGCAAGTGCAGGCTGACTCTTTCTTCAATTTCTTCAACCCCCCTGCAGGTTTGTTGTGTTGCTGACGCTTAATTCTTTTTTTCTTGTTAATCCAGTAGCCTTTGAGCGTGTGTCCTTCGGCCCAAGCCATGTTTAAAAAGATAGTCTTTGACATTTGTTTTTAGTTGCAGTATAGGGTATTGTCTGTGGTAGAGATAGGAGGAAGTTTCTCTTGGAGACTCTGTAATTAGAGACATTCAAGAGTTAATCTTTTAGGTGAAGATGGTTGTGGGCTCTCTCACCTTTCTTTGAAGTCAACAAGCCACATGTGGTGCTGTGCTGTATGGGCGACAAACAGCTCACACGCTGGAGCCCAGGCTTTTCTGCTATAGAAGTGATTCGTGTGTCGTCACAGGACATGAAATGTAGAGCAGTGCAGAGCAAAACATCAGGATATGTAGTAGGGAATGGTGCCTACCTAAGCAAATGTAAAACAAGCCCATAAATGAGTTCTGAACCATGAATTTTGTAATTTGTGAAAAGATATTGAGTGCTAAAAAAATTATTGGGGGGGGGGGCTTGGTTTTCTTATGTATTTTTTTCACGTTCTTTATTCCTTTATCTGTTGAAGCAAGATTTCTTTGTTGACTTTTGTGATGACACTGAAAAATACAAATCACGCTTGGAGAAAAGGGTGTCCTGGAATTCTTCATTGTGTGCTAGAGTGATTATTTTGTCACTGAATTATGTTCTTGTATATTTTTCCTCTTGTTCTAATGCCATTTTAAATGTTTCTTTCGTTTTGTTTTTGCAGTCCCAGAAGGATCTGAATCTGAAGTGGTAAGTTTCTGTCTAAGCATAAGCCTCAGGAGAGTTAAACCAAAATGTTTTTTAACTGTTTGTGTTTTGCATTGTGTTTCTAGTGTATGTTTAGAATGGGTGAAGGGTTTTCTTTGATAATTTCTGTACGAGGTGCAATAATATTTTAGGCACATTACCTTTGAAAATAATTATATTTATCTTGAAGCTTGTTGCTCTGGTTATGATTTGTAATGGAAAATATTTTTTGGTTAAAAACGTATTTTTCTTTTTCCCTTATTGTCAACTAGGATGAGGAGATTGAGGCCTTACTCGGTGCTGACTTTGAGATTGGACATTTTATTCGTGAGAGAATAGTGCCAAGAGCAGTGCTGTTCTTCACAGGAGAGGCCATCGAGAATGATGATGTAAGTGTGGTCAGTGTCAGGTTTTTTTGTCAAGATGTTGCAATTCACTCATCGAACAGAAAATGAAGGTACAAGGGTGTGTAAATTTAGGAAGGAAAATTGGCTGTTTCCAGGTTACATCCGTTTCCTGTCTTGAGCGATCTCGTCACCAGTTTCAGTAGCTCTTAAACGGATCCTCTTTCATGAAGATGGGGTCCGAATGGTCGTGGTAATTTTCATTACCTAAATTTTCTTAATCGCTTGTGAGTGGTTTCTGGGACTAAAATCTTTCAAAAGTAGCATGGCACAGTAGACAATCCTGGGTTCACTTTAATTTTCACTTGGAAAAATTTTTGCCTTAAAATCATCTCACCAAAATGGGAAGTCACTCTAATGAACAGATTTTTCTTTAAAAGGGAAGTGGAAAGGCTGTTTTCCCTTTTTTTCTGAATTACTGAAGCTGATATAGTGTGACTCATAGTCTAATTAGATAGTAAATTGGTGACAAACACATGGGCTGCCGTGTTATCTCATCTGGCACATGTGTTGTCATGCTTGTGTGCGAGTTTCTTTGTTGTTGCTTTTGTCCTGTGTCCTGTTTTGGTGCTGATATTTGTCCTAACATAAAAATGTGCTTGCTTAGTACACATTGTTATGCTTCAAGAGAAAGGAAAATACAGTAGTCTCCGCCTAAGATCCCGGTGCTCGGGAGCAAGGAAGTATGGGATCTTAACCGACGAACCCAGGGAAGAATCTATGGTGACCCATGCTAAGGCTCACAATCAATAAAATGGTCTCCCTCCACTCTACAATGAACTGACGGTGACCGCTTGGTGGGTTTATGACGTAAGGCGAGCAAAGAGTGATTAACCTTGATGACCTGTCACAGTGCATAGTGGGATGAGACATGCCATTTTCACTTATTATCCTGTCATAGTCTCAAATTATATGCTTATCCAGTTGCCCCTCCCCCTTACCTGTCGAAAATTTATAGCTTTCCATCTCTGACCGAGCCCCCCCCCCCCCCCCCCCCCCCGTCTGTCTCGCAAATTCGGGAGTAGAGACAACTTCTGCCATGGTCAGGGAAGAGTTAACAGTTCAATGTGGTCCCACCTGGAGCGAACGTGTAGGCCCTACCCACCCAGCGGGTGATATAAGTTTAGGGGGAGAGCTCAGGTGTGAGTGCGGTGTTCAGGGAAAACAAACGTGTCGGTCAGTTCACACCCTGGTGTGATCCCGTCTGGGGCAAACATTGTTTCGCTTCGAGTTTTTCAATGTGCATGGGATCACATTCACGATAGTGGCTGATCTTTGACACGACGGACAGTTTGTTGATCTCAACTTTTCACTCTTTGTTGATCGGCTGTCCCGCCCGGGTTTTTGTTCTGTAAATTATGATCTGAAATGCGGGATCTAACCCGAATGTAAAACGGCGAGATCGTAAGCTTTGGGATCTTAGGCGGAGACTACTGTAGTTTAGTTTGGTGTGTGTGGGTTAAAAAGACCGATTTTATTATATGTTTGTTGTTTTTTTCTTTTGCCCACAGTATGATGATGAGGAGAATGAAGAGGTAAGCAACATGTTATAATTTTTCTCTTTCTTTTGACTATTTTTAGCTTTATTTTTAATGCACAAGGGTTTCTTTTAACTTTGATCTCCATGCTCTTTATTCAGAGATAAAAGTTTAGTGTGAGTTCTAGCATCGGACCTTATGTTGGTAATGAGTCTGTGCTCATAGCATCGTGTTTTGAGAGTCCTGTTAGTTGTCCTGGAAGCCTTTGTGAAAAGAACCAAATTACTGGGTTCATTTGGTGATATGCTTTACTGTAACTCAGGACCTATTTTCATATGTTTAGCTGCACATTTTAAAAACTTTGGTTGTAAGGGGATATTTTTGTAGCTGTTCACCCATCAGAGTGGATCCTTTTGGAAACGGACAGTGCTCTCAGAGATTCTACTTCTTATATATCAGTATACTGCTTAATACTCCTACTGACCATGGACCAAAACTGAGTCTTAAAGTCCCATTCAAATTTTTGGTTTGTGATGCAATGGTGTGAAAATTTACATCGTAACCAGCAGTTAAGCTTGCAGCGCTCTCAGTAGAAGAAAGCTGTAGTGACCTGAGGATGCATTGTTAATCATTTTTGAAGCCGTAGGTCATTGTTTTTTTGGGTTTTTTTAATTGTTGGGTTGGATTTTTACACTTTGAACTGAGTCACGAACCCATGTTCATTGTTGTTTTGCAGAGCTCTAGTAGCGATGTAAGTCCCACTTGCTTGTTTCCTGCCGGTTGATAAGTTTATCAAGTTGACAGAGGGGGTCTGCACGGGGCATTGAGTTTTCGTTTTGCAAATTTGTCCTATGGCACCACCTTTTTTTTTCTTTTTCTTTTATGTGCTCTTTTCAGTTGGGGGCTTGCTTACCTATTTGGTAATGTTTGTTGGGAGTTGTCTTTTGCTTGTATAATTTGTAATTTTTTTTACCCTATGAAGAGGCATGTTAATTTTGATGTTATGGCTTGTATAAGTTCTTCAGTTATGGCCTTTTTGCTCTAGACACCCATGTGATTGAATGACTGAAACACGACTGATGTATTGTATCTTTGTATCATCATCAGACATGTTGTTGTAACACTTGTAGCAGAGTTTGCCTAACCCAAGTGTGGTTTGGTTTCTTTTCAAGTTTTTAAGTTGAAATGTGTTACGGTAGTGACAAAATCTTTGAATTTAATGTAGCTCCTTGATAAAAGAAGGCTTCGGAAGCCACCCGTGCAAAATTCAAAATAGATATTGTCCTACTCAAATTAAACATATACTCTGGTCAGTATAAAAATAAAGTATCTTCAAAACTGGAATGAGGCTGCCCGAAGGCAAGGGACCCTATGAAGTAGGAAAAATGGTCACATACGACACGTAAGAAAGCGGTTGACAATTCTGAGATCTAGTAGGGGAGTGCAAAGAAGAATGTTGGACTGACAAAAACTGGTAGAGAGTTATAGAATAAATCCAATGTGTCAATTAAGTGAAAGGCCATGGCTTTTAAATGTGTGGAAGAAATATTTTTTATTTCCTCTTAAATTGGGATTTAAGAAAATAATATGAGTATGAGTCAGAAATTTGTTGTTGGGGCTGTGTTAAGGAGTTAAGTCACTGACTGCTGCCGGTCTCAGCTGTGATCTTTAAATTTCTATCTCAATAAACCTTGTTTGTACTTATGCTCTAAGCTAGATTAAACATTTTCTGTGTACAGGGTTCATAAATAAGTCTTTGTCTTTTTCAAATTTGCTAGATCGGGTCAGTTTTTATTCTTGGTTAACTTTTATCTTTGTCCTTATGGGCTGTCTTTTATCATGTCGTTTTGCCCGGTTTTGTCCTCAGGGAGAGGATGACGAGTACGATGAAGACAATGATCCCGACTTCAACCCCGAGGTAAGACCTAGCACCTTGTCAAATAGCTCACAGCCACCTGGGAAGACTAACTAGTAGCTGCGTGGCTGTTTTGTACCATAACACATTTGGGGTGGAGGTGGTATGGAAGAACAGCAGTTTACCAATACAGCCTTTTTGGGGGGAATTTAGTAATGGTCAGTTCTCCTTCCCCCCGCGCGCTCTTTTGGTGCTGGAGGCGGAGCCTGTTTCACCGATGAACCGATCACTCGGATGTTGAGAGTTTTTTGCTCTTAATTCTCTAGCTTTTGTCAGAACTGTTGTAGGTTGCTATGAAGGACAGAACTATTTGCCCCTGACATAACTATTATCCTTGTGATGCCTGTGTGTTGACCGAGGACTTGAGCTTCCTCTTGAGACTGTAGAGTTGACTCTCCTCTTCCTAGTGACAGCATCTCGGGTAAATAGCTGATGATACTGTTCTTGTTTTTAAATAGTTCCTTGTCCTTTAAAAAAATGTATTTACATATCTGAGGAAAGGAAAATGGCGTGCTTGGAAAATAATGTCTATTGGACAGGCAAACCAGAGTCTTGTAGTCATTATTCCATTGTTAGCAGGGCTTGCTTTTTGTTTTTGACTGGTCATAGGGGGTGTGAATATTAACCCTTTCGTTGCCATGGGGGAATGCGTTCTTAATGTCAGCCCTGATTTCCAGCTGAGCTTATTCAGGACAGCAGTCTCATGTCTCATTGTTAGTGGACTTGTGGTCTAGGTCTAGCCCACTCGTGACATATTTTGGTCTTCGATTGTGTCACTTCCCTCATTCCCTAAATGCTCCAACTTACTCATAGTTTTGAATAATTTGCAAGTCTTTAATAAAACTGAAATTTTCTGTTTAAAGTTATTTTGATGTATACGTTTTGCGAGAGCACGCAGCCGTCCGCAAGACTAGATCTTTGTTTATTGATGGCTTGCAAGCCTAGCAGTAATGTAGTGCAAGCAAGTTTGGTACCGATGTGCACATCTTTTATTCTCAAATGCGAGTACCTGCAGTGCTTGTGTTAAAACTCTACCTAAGAATTAGAGCCAAGTGATTAATGTAATGTCGTATAGGTAACAGGAGCAGAAAATTTAGCTAACTTTCGTGGTGTCGTTAGTACGGTACGAAGCTCAAATATATTTCGTGACGTGCCAAGTACGTCGTAAGGCAACAAAGGGGTTAACGGGGAAGAAATTTTTTATTTTCTCAAAGTCTGTTTCACAATGTTTAGGTATATGATTAGCCTTACGGCATTGGACCTGTGGAGAAATACTTTACCCTGAAATGTTTTGTAACTGATGTTTAGAGGGGGTGCAATTTGTAGTGCTATAGTGCTTGACCCTACAACAGAACTCTGTAACTTTTGACCTGTTGGAATGTCAGCTGGAGGACACCATGGTTTTTTTAAATTTTTTTATTTTTGGCACTTCTTTTTTTGGTATTTCTCTTTTTTTCCTTTAATGGACTTCTTTTTTTTTTAAAAAACTTTTTTCCCATCCCCTTCTTTTTCTTAGGCGTCCAACTAGTGGTTCAAGACATAAGAATTGAAATTTTCGGTATGCTAATAATCTTGGTAACTCGCTATTTATTTTTGTACCCTATCAATGTTCAGTTGGCAACCTGCATGTGTTCCTATCTTTTTTCGTTTAAAACTATTTTGTTGGCTTTTGTGCTGGGTTTTTTTTTTTGGTAAAGAACTTTTTTCATTAAGGTAAAGTGATGTCTCCTTTCTTTCTTTTTTTTTTAAATTTTAGAATTTTTTAAGTTTGACAGTGAGTAAAATGTTTATTGCCTGTTGTGTACCTTTTTTTGGCCTTCTGTGTACACAAGTATTGTAGACTGTTGCATGAATATACTGAGTACACTGTTTTATTTTACCTCTTTGTGCTACACCCCACTGGTCTCTGAAAATGAGGATTGGGAATGTTCTTCAGCGTAGAAAAATTGCCACTTTTTTTGTTTTAGACCTGCATGTTTGCCGACAATCGTCTGAAATCCGACAATCGCAACCCGACCCGCGAGCCAGCCGATGCTATCGCTAGGCCCACCTGTATCAGTCAATGTGCGTAGTGGGAGGTCTGGCTGACTGCCAGCGCCCCCCTTTTTCTCCCGTCGACTTTGTCGGCACTTTCGTTTTCGTGCCGACTGCCAACGTAGGCGTTTCCGACATAATTGTCGGAACCTGAGTAGAAAAGCGAATACGAAAAAGGACGACGACCTAGATTATCTACTTTCAGTTTCGTGCTCGAGCGGCCATTTTGAATTTCGTTTGTTGACTAATTCAATTGTTCAGATCGTGAGGATTCATTCAAGTCCGACTCACTTGTTCAGATAGCATCTAGATCTAGATTTATAGATCATTATAGACCTCAATGGAGGATTCATATTCCAATTCTATTGTGTCAAACCCTATCATAGGTTGTGCTGTAATGTTAATGTTGGTAAAAAGCATTTCATCAGGTGCGTGAATTATTTATTTATTTAGATTCTAGATATAGATATAGACTCGGCTGAGTCCCTCTGTTCGGAATCGGGTGCGGGTTTCTTGTTCAAGGCCTATTCCTATTCACTTGTTCTACAAGATCTAGATCTAGATTTATTTAGATTTCTAGATCTATATGGAGGATTCATATTTCAATTCTATTGTGTGTTGTATCAAACCCAATTATAGCAATGGAGATGTAGGCCATGCCATATATTATGCTCCTTGTTTGTTTTGGAGTGTGGTTTTTAATTTTAAATTTTTAAATATTATTTTGGACTTGTGCTGGCCTTTTTACATGAGGCCCGTTGCAGGTTCTTTTTAGGGGTAGGGTTAGGGTTAGGTCTCTTCTTTATTGGGTGATCGCTCGTTACTCGGAAGTCCTTCCTGGCTTATGACACCCACAAAATTGACAAACGCTCTTATGGGGGGGGGGGGGGGCACAAAATTTTCAGACAAACTGGTTGAGGCTCACATGCAGGTCTATTGTTTGTTTATAAGGGCTGAAAGTTTTTTCCCCTTTATTTAAATCTGTGTAGAAATAAAATGCCTATGGGTTTTCACAAAAGAAGCGGAGACGAGGAAAAATATTGGTACTCTGGCCTTGAAACAATTTTTACATGTGTGTGTCGCAACGTGGTGGAATTGGGCGCTTGTCAATTTTTGGGCACGTGGAGTTGTTGGTATTATTCTAAAGCTTGTTCGTTTGTCTTGTGTTCAATAAAAACAATACCCATCTATTGTGAATAGAAATCAAGATATTTGCAATTGAAAGAGGTGGGGATGACTTGGTTTCAAAGGTAAAATTAGCCGGAAAATGGCAGCCAACGTTTGGTTACTTCCATAGAGTCCTTAAAACTGAAGAAAAAAAATTGGGGGCCTTCAGTAAATGTTTTTCAGTAAAAATCCCCACTGAAATGTATTTTTTAAATGGTCTTAAAAAGTGTTGAACCTAAAAGCAATTCGATAAAACTGCTAGTTGTAAAATGCCGGATTCTTTTATTTCATTATTATGACGGGCACCTGATTTCCCCCACAAAGCTTCTCATAGGTATAAGAAAGTTGAATTTTGTGTTTCATGGTTGTGTCAGTTTTAAGTTGTTAGTTGGGTCACTATCAGCCTTGCAAATAAGCTGTTATTCCTCCCGGGAAACTCAAAAGGTGTCCTCCATAACCTGATATCAACTCTTGCTGTTGTGGATTCAGCTGCACCATTGTTTTTAGTACTGTTTTCAATTCAATGGTAATGGAAAAACTATTCACCGCTGCAAGTTAGACTTGATGAAAAGTAAAAGTATGCCCCCACAACAGGTCATGATATACAAGTATTGTCACTTCCAGCCCATGATGTGTACACTAACGACCTACCAGATACTCTGGTAAAATATTACCTGTCCGATATACCCCCCCGCTAAAATTCATACCATTGCGCAGAATTAAGTTTTTTCCTTTAATTTTACAAATATACGACCATAAACCCCTGATACAGATTTTTAAATGATATATTTTCTGTTAAGCTACCCCAACCCATGTCCACCCTCCCACAATATTAATTTTTAAAAACAACCTCAAAACAATCAGACCCGGCAGTCGACATTCACACCGTCTGTGCACAGAACCCATTGTACAATAGTCACTCAGTGCCACTTTGCCTTGAGAAAACATAGTTTGACTAGGTGTTAAATTCCTGAACTTTGCCTAGGCCAGTGAGAGAATTTTGAAAACATGGATCCTTGGAAACAATCAGCTACAACACACAGTATGGTGTGTTGTGATGCACAATCAGGAGCAAAAGTTTGTGTCGCCTCCTGTTGATTTCTTTTGTTTTTACAAGAATCAAGCAGACAACTAGTAACTAATCCTCTCCCCTTGATTTTTAACAATTCTAGGATGAGCACACCAAGACCTTTTTCATTTCATATATAATGCTTGTGTTTACATTACTTCCACCCTTGGCCTTGACACTCCATGGAAAAAAGACTATCCATTGCAATATTTTTGCGAAATTTTTAAAGCCAGATTACTTAATTTTTATTTGTTGATTACTAAAACATGTGCAGGTGGGGGGTCAACCGAGGGAAGAACCGCGATTTGATTTGTTTAAATCCCTTTTTTCTTTGTTTCTTGGGTGCTGTTTCCATCAGTCACATGCGACTTATTGCAAGTGATCTGAAAATACCCATTTTTCATTGCATTTATTAATGCAGCTTACCATAAACAGCATTTAAATAACACATTTTAGGGTTTTTTAAATGTTCTTTTTTGGTGAGGATTTTGGGGAAACTTTTTGGTCATTGAACGGTTGGCAGTTCTGAAACCAGAGTGTGGATGCATAAGGCTGTCCATGTAACTGGCTATATAAGATTTATATAATAATGACTAACGTCAAAGTTCAACCTCACATACTGAAGTGGAGTGCATAAACAAGTTGGGGGGGGGGGGGGAGAGAGAGAGAGAGAGAGAGGTCTAGAAAGAAAGAGAGAGAGAGAGAGAGGGGGGGGGGGGGGGGTCTTTTGAAAAAATACTCAAACTGATCTTTGGGTGGACAAAAATTGTTCTTCTTGTGGATGTATTTGGAGCTGAAGAATGGCCATGGAAAGTGATGCCCCTTTGGGTTAGAATGTGAGGTGAGATGGTTAAAAATTAACGCCCTTGCATTTGAGTGCTTAGCGAAATGATTGATGATTAAATGCCGTCTTCTTATTGACAAATTATAGATTTTTTGGCCTTTGTGGTTTAAATAGAAAGCCTTTTTAAAAAGCAAAGACAGTTTCTTTTTTTACATGAAATTTGTAAAATACTGGCTCAAAAATGGCATTTAATGGAAAGATCAGTTTATTTTATTTTCTGTTAGAATAAAGCGTGGGATTTTTTTGCATGGAACTTCCCGCGAAGCTCAGAAGGTACGCTGGGAGCACTCAGTACACTGCGTAGGCCGGTGCAAAGGTAGCTGGGATAGGGCTTGGTGTTTTTGTCAAAATGACAAATCTGGATGTTTACGGCAATGAATACAGGTTTGCGATGATCTCGATGGTGGAAAAAAAAATAAGCTCCATATATTTGTCAGTTTGTCCCAAATCTCTGCCACTCTACCAGGAATCAAGATGGCCATCGGTGCCATCCTGTTTTACGGTCAACTTCATGCTTGTCCATAAGTAGGTGGAATAACAGGTTTCACTATATATTTCCCCAATTGCTTTGTATCCTCGTCCGCGTTCTTGGGGAAGCAGTCGGGCTTCGCAAGTTGAACTTGTCAGCGGTCCTGTATGTGTTAAAATATTTGTGGTTGTCGTATTCAATCCCACCTGATTGAATGTTCTGTGTCATAGTTTCCTCTTCAGCGTCTATATGGCATGCATTGACACTTTGAGCCAGCAAGTCTGACATCTCCAAATGACACCCAAAACTTTTTAATGTCTTGTGTCAGGCTGCTCATACTCACACACTTGCTTTTGTTCCTTTATTTCAATGTCCTCTGCGTTGTAGCCACCAATAGGAGTTCATAGGATTCTCTGGAAACATTTAGGTCATCCTTTACATTTAAAAAGATTTCTACTGATCCCTATGCTGATCATTCTGCCACGGACAAGAGCTCTCAACAGAAGAATGCACCTAATGCCATCTCCCGTAATGTTTCTCTAGAAATGCCAGACCAACAGACCGCGCTGCATCAAGGCTTGCTGCCCACAGAAGCCCAGGTCTCTTAGAAATTGAAGGTAGTGTACGTCCCAGCTTTTGATGAAATGCATCCAGAACTGTAATGACATCCTCATAGTTTTCCTCTTTGATTTGGGCAAGGATTTTGTATGTGTATGTTAGGCATGTCGCCAACCATGAAAGCAAAAGATATTGTTTTTCTTGCATTGACCTCATAAGTTTTAGATGACATCATGCAGAACAGACTTACTTGGCAGGTGGATGTAGGGTGCCACTGGTAGGTCCTACTGCTTTACTTTCCCTCTGGTTTTTCTTACTGTGTTACTTTTTCTGAGCACTAAATCGCCATTACTGTCGTTGTGCTTCTTTTTACTCAAACAAACAAAACAAACAAAAACTTACTTGGTGGCTCAAGGTAGGTTGCATGGTTATATACATTTTTTTTCCTGAGAGGAAGCTGAGAGCATGCTTGAGTCCCCACGAATGATGGAACATTGATCACCGGGGGGGAGGTAGGTTGCCATCATTGTCTACAAGCGGTAAGGCATGTACAGTCGAACCTGTCATAACGGAATCTCCCTCCTCCCCAATAATTACCTCTAAAATGGAAACTTGCCTAATGCAGAAACGGAAAGAGAAATTCCTTCCCTTTGGATTAGCATTACCGAAGATGGAATCTGCTTTGTCCACTCAGCCCTGATTTGACACAGAACGATCAAGTTTGGTCCAATCGGCTCTGACCTTTACATTATGCGGCTTGGTACGGAGCGGGAATAGGGATGTGACTTTACGCTTTGAGTTTTTTCCACTGTTTCCCAGAGTTTTTCTACAGTCACCTAAACCTAGTGTACTATGTCTCATTTTTACCTCCAAAGCTTGCCTCCAACTTCTCAATAGCGGAAACAAAGGCTTAGTCATTACTATAAAAAAAACCCCAAAAACTTGGTTCCGCAATAGTTCAGAAAAACAAGCAAAACTAGAACTAAATAAAACAAAACAGTTGTCACTAGTACTGTACGCTCCCAGAGTCCGATGGGGAACAGGGTTATGGGGTTCAAAGAGTTAAGGTTACTAGGTCTATGTTAGCCCTGAGCAGTGCAGATGGTCAGGATGGTATGGGTGTGAAATCTCACCAGTGCCTGTGAAAGTGCTTGAGTTGTGCTCTAGCAGGGAAACTTTCGTGGAGAGCAAGAGGTATGAAATCAATTTCACCAATGCTTTGATCATAGGGCCAGAAGAGAGAAAAAGGTTCCTCAAATTGCTGGAGGGTGGCATTGATTGACTTCTTGTTACTTTGATGGATGGGGCTACGGTTGGAAGTAATTGAGATGTTTAATTGTTTTTAATAGGTCAAACAGTGGTCTTATATAACGCAAGCACTGGTGGCTGCAGATAATTAGGATTGCTGCATGTCGTTATCAGAGAGGCTAGGATAGCACTTGAGAGGTGTGAAGATTTGACCACTGCTTGCCGACCGGACGCCGGCTGAGCCTCTAGAACCCACCCCTGTCCAAGACGGAATTGTTTTCTTGATCCCTTATGATTCTGTCTTAGATATGTTGGACTGTACATGTACTGCCCTCTGGAGTCTGTAGTGTTGGGGGACTTCAGGGTGGGCTGCTAATTTCATTTTTCTATTTTTCTATGGGACTTTGGTTGTAACAATTTCTTCTGTTGGCTTTTAACTATAGGTTTATGTACGTAAAGTTTGTCCAATGAGCCCCGGTAGCATCACCACTTAATAATTTGGATACAATTAATTAAGTTTCAATAGTAATGGGGCTATTTCTTTACTTTCTTCAAGTCTTCAATGCTAGGAAATCCTATCTCATCCGGAGTGTTGCAGGGATTCCAAACACTTTCTCTCCTTTGTCTTATCCAGGCTTGACTACGGCTGTCAAGTCTATGGATCGGCAAGACCCAACATCTTAAAAATGCTAGATCCTGTACATATATATTTACCAAGGACTCTGCCTGGCCATGGGGCTTGCCGCAATTCTCCAGGCGAGGCCAACATGCCATCACTAACATTCGCCGGAACGATACCTTTTTTTATAGTATTCAGTTAAACATGAGAAAACCCAGCGCACACAGCGGCATTTTTAGATCACATCCAGACTCAATGAACATTAAAAAACGACAAACTCTTTAAACCTTTCAGCATTAGAGTTCTTGAGGACCTCTAAAATATAAGACCTCCAAAAATGAGTTTCGACCTCCCACAGTGGCACCTCACCAAGGCAAAAGTAGACTTACAATAACTCACCACACGCAACAAATCGTGCTCAAACACAAAAACATTCAAAGCTGCATACAAGATACCCTGGTGCAAAGCTTATTTTCACTGGTGGCTCTAAATCCGCTTCAGCTGTGGGCGCTGCCGACCTGTCCACAAACAATACAACAATACCTACTAGAAGAGGTTCCATCCTGAAGCCTCCATTTTTTTCTACAGAAGCCACTGCCATTGATATGGCATTGGACTAAAAAATTATCCCTAAACATCGTTTCATATTCTGTCTGATTCCTCGTCTTGCCTCACGTCGCTCACAAGCCCTGCAATCCTACACTCGAAAGTTTTTAACTGAACAGGGGGAAAGTATTGTGTTTGCTTGGCTGCCTAGTCATGTGGGCATCTGAGGAAACGAGCTGGTCAGTCTACTGGCGAAGGAATCCTTGTTCCTCCTGTTAGGATCAATGGAGAACCGTACACACACACACACAGACAGACTTTAAAAATAAGGTCAAAAGCTACACCTGCTATCTGTGGGAGAAACACTGAAGTGAACAATTAAATATCAAGCGGCAGTGTTATACCCAAACTGGCCTCTCTAGAAGAGATGTTGTTTTTACTTGATTGTGCATTGGTTATACCTCCCTCTCCCAATGTACAACATAAAAAATTTTTCTGTCGTTCATCCCAACAGAATTTTTGCCGTATAATTTTTAACCTGATTGAACTAAAATCAAGCCGAATACAGCCAACTTGTTTTGCACACTCACTGACTTTTTGCATTTGTGAGCGCCATAAAACTAACTGTAAACGTAAGTAAATCATTTAGTAAATGGGTTGTGTGGTGGTAGAACTCCCCCTCCCGCCAAGCACTGGGTGTAATATTGTATCCTGTGCCGTATAAGTTAAATGCTACAAGGATGAGTCGCAGATAATGGGGTGGTGTGAAGAAGTGACTGACCATACCGTGTTTGTGGCAGACAAGTCTTCTTTTTTTAGTGTACCATCTTGCTTTTGGTCCTTTTAGCATTTTGTCAGTGATAGATGAGAGGCCACGGTCCTGCTTTTACTATGCCCTGGACTAGTAGCATTGCTGTCCTTTCTGTGTTGGCAGGGTTTCTTCGGTGTGGTGGAATTCTTGTGTGCCTTTGTCTCTCCCCTTTATTTTTTAGGACAGAAGCATGTTTTCTCTTTCACTGGCTGGAAGAGGCCTATGTTGTGACTATTTATTACATGTCGGGGATATTTCTGTGAAACCAATTTAAAAAGATAATCGACAGTCTTGTAAGTGTAGTTATTTTTGTAGAAGCACTCAGTTTGAACCCTTTTTTTTTTTCGTAACGAGTCCACAAATATGTTACGTTTTTCAGGCTACCAAGCGTGCGGAACTTGCATCCAAGTGAAAGTACTATGTATTTTCATTTTTGGTGTTTCATTTTGATATGTTACTCTTGGAAGTCCAGTTGATAATAGACCCTTTGGGAAAGAACCCTTTCCAATCCTCAATTTATTACTTTGGACTTGGGGGGCTGTTACTTTTTTCTTTAAATAAAAAATTTGTATTGCATGTGTTGGGTTGTTTTTTTGTGCCGTTTTGTATTCTCTTTAACGTGCACAACTGTTGGTTCTACGACAATGTGGACAAGTTTTCCTCTTTCACTGGACTAGGTCCTTTGTTTTGTTTTTCACCCCCCTCCTTCAACCTTGTGAACATTTTCTGCATGCTCAATTGGATGTGGGTTTGTTTTTTGTTTTTTTTAATCCACTGACAATGAACTATTCTGCATTGGTCTTGATGACTTTTATTATTGGCTATGGGGAGATCAATTCTATTTGATTTCCAGTGTCCATTACGAGTTTCTGATCTGATAGTGAGCCTACTAAGAATTGGGGGTGGTTATTAATCTTGTTCTCTGAATTGGGTCAGTCTTGGGGTTAATGTACATGATGCGGTATTTTCTGGTTCTTGATTCGTGTAGCAGTAACTTTTTGTCTCTGTGAAACAGACTTTGAAAGTTTGATTTAAAAGCAAGCTCAGGTCTCTGAATGATCGTATGTTTCCTCAAGAATAAATGTTTTTATGATATTAGTCATGTGCCTTTTGTCTGTGGTCTGATGATGTGTGTACTCATTTCATAGCACTCACGATGTTTCTCTTCTTTTTTTTTCCTTTCCAGGCCCAAGGCAAACCCAATGAATGCAAACAGCAATAGAGTGTGTCATGCATGTGTGCGTCCTCGACTTTGGCGAATTGATTGTGATATTTGTACCGATTACATTGAAATCTCATGATGTCATGATCAATTGATGCTGTCCTAACTACTTGCTCCAGTTGCTTTGTATTCAATTTTAAGAATAAATCTTTACATTCACTTTGGATTGTTCTGTGTGAGGTAATTGTTTTTGTTACTTGTTCATGTGTGTATGGTTTCTGGCGAAAATGCACTACTTTTATTATACCCAAGTGAGTGGATGGGGTAGTTTTGGCTGGGAGTGTACTGTTGGGAATGGCAACAGGTGTTGCTTTAGAAGACTTAGCTGAGACTCGAAGAACATTTGTATTTTATTTACTTTCCTTTTGTCTGTCTTGGTTTAGATGACTTCAAGGGGTCGTGGTTTGCTCCTTCTTTCTCATCAAACTTCTGCCATCCTTATCTCTCCTCTTCCTTTATTTTTGTTTGTTACTTTCTTGTAACACTTCTAATCTTTGGTAGGCCTGCTTATATGACTTAATTGTGTTGCAAGTGCTGTTGTAAAACTCAGTCACAATTCGCTACCCCAGAATTACAGTTCTATCTGCACAGTTAGTTTTCAACAAAACCTGCCAAGGTCTGAATTACATGTACAAAGTTCTATTTGCAAAATGAGGGAATCTCCAGTTTTGGCCCCTATAGTTTTTATATATATATATATATGGGTAGGGTAGTTTATGTGTACTTTGGTACTGTCTTCTCTCGTTCTTCTGTTTAGTTGGCTATATTATAATTTTCTCATTTTACATACATTGGAAACCAGTGTTGTTTTTAGAACAACAAAGTGCAGAGGATTGAATCTCGTATTCATTTGTGTGGGACTAATCAATGCCAGTGCAGTTAAAAAAGAATGCCTGTGGTGCTAGAAATAAAAGCTCTTTAGAGTTTAGAGGTCTACCTCACCTCAAATGTCAGAACATGTACTGGTTCAAACACTGGATTGGCCATCTGGAAACCTTCAGGTTCTCTTCCTTTTTAGCCTCTGGATAACTTTTTCTTTGATTGTTAAGTGTCGGTCAATGGTGGAAATGAAACAAACGCCAAAACCTGCATGATGAAAATGGTAGTGCTAAAGTAGTACAATGTGAGTAGATTCTAATGTTGAGAAATATGTCTCCAGGATGAAAGACAATTTCTGTCAATGTCAGTAAATGGTAAAGATGGTGCTGATCGTAATTGGTAGCGGATCACGATGAATAGAGCACCGGTATCTGTGGTGCAGCAGGTAGGCACTTCGTTGTTGCCCGAAAGAGACCTGCCTGAATCTGGAGAATTTTTATCTCATTCTTTCTGCTGGGATGTATTCTTCCAGCCTTGGTTGGCCGTGACAATCGCATTTTTTTGTCTGTGAATAGTGCTTGTGTTCTCGTGTAAGTTTAAAGCTCTCTTGAGTGGTTAAGCTTTGTTTTTGCTTGTAGGACACACGAATTTGATTAAAATTACGTATGCATGAACATTCCGAAGACAAAATTGCCTTATTAGAATTAGACATGGTATTGGAAATCCGCTGGAAAAGGAAAAAGAGGTAGACCTACTGGAAGTTACAGACAGAGGAACAATTAGGGATGAAGCAATCGCTCAGGGCCTGGATATGCCAAGCCTCAGAAGGTGGCAAGAAACAGGCAAGACTGGAGTTGACTGCCTTCCACTTTATATACCTGACGATATAGTATTAATATATATATATATTATATAGTACATAAATCAAAATGTACGTTTACTTGTTTGGTACGAAGAACATTCTATTAGCGTCCGAGTCATTTGATAAAAACCTGTAAATTCTTTGCCATATATCGTCAGACCGAAGGGCTCGAACTCGGATGGCCTCTGGATCACATGTATGAACTGAACTGGCTTTGGAAAAAAAGTGTCTGTGTGTGCAAAGGGACAAAGGTATGTCTAGAGATAACACTGTTGGGAGTCTGCAGACTGCTGGCTACAGGCTTACAACAGGGAGGTACATCAGCCACTTGTTCGAAGGAGTCGGTGTTGTGCTCTAGAGGATAAAAAAACAGGTCAGCTCTGCTTTCTGAAGCCATTTTTTAAAAAGTTTGATCTGTGGTCCCTCTATACAAACTAAAAGTCTGGTTTAGTTTTAGTGGCACTTGCATTGCTATACAATATGGTCATTGCAATACAATATGGTCATATAAGTACCGAAGAATGGATGTGTTACAATAGTTATAGAGTAACAAACACAAAAAAGGAGCAGAGAAGAATGATAGATGTATGGTAGTATTGGTAGGAAAGAAGGAGCAAGTAATTACTAATACATGTGTAGGGTAGTCGTACCACATTGTACAGAAGTACAGTACATGTACATCACTCGAATCGGAATGTTTTTTTCGGCCTATTGAAAATTAAAGGTGGTACTGGTTGTATGGTAATGGTACTAAAGTAGTTGAACCTCACACCGCCACTCTTGGGACAAGCATGAAGCCAGTGAAACAGCGGGGCTGGTGGTTTAATGGGGTACCTCTGTTAGGATCCGACTTCCCTACGTAGGGACATGGTTCTGCTGTGTGGTCTGAGCTAGAAAAATTGAAAAGTGACTTGACTTTTTTTTTACTGGTGAATATAATATATTATTATACACTACATGTACATGACATGCACATGTATTTAATTTAGAACCGAGTCCTTTCTCTCTTTCAATCTCCGTCTTTCACGATGATTATCAAGTCGCCAACCAAGCAAATTTACAAAAATAGTTAAATGAGGATTGGACAGTAAAGTTGGTGGATGACGATGTGAAGGCATTAATAAACTTATAAAAAGGCATTCCTTTTCGTATATTTGCTGTCTCTGTGGTTTTATGCACCCGGCATAATTTAGCAAAATTTGATCATTTTTTGCATAATTTCTTATTATTTTCCTTTATCATTCTTTGTTAAAATTAGCAGAATCGCATAATTTCACAATTTTGGGCTCAGTTTGCATAATTTCAGAATTTTTCTTGCGTACGACGGGGACAGAGATATTGTCAAAACCTGGTGGTATAACGAGGTTTGGCTGTATACCGTGTATTCTGCCATTTGGCTGAAAACACTACTCATATAATGATATAAAGTGACATTGAGTTTGAGCACAATGCCACGTGTTCTCTTACTCTTATGTGTCCACAATACACTACGACTGCTACAAAAATAAAGTACATGTAACGCTTGCTATCATCACTTTCACTAGTTTTTACATTCTCTCTAATGGTGTACTAAAGAAATATAATAGGTCTACAGTTAGTATTTTTTTAAAAATTTGGTTCAGTTGATCGTAAGACTGGTTTACTGTTGCACGACACTGACAGGTTTGACTACTACTATATCATATGGTTGCTTGCACAAATTGGCTATCCCGAAAAATACTGTGAGAAAATCAAAGGTAAAGTATTTGCCCCTTGTTCAGTTTCTTTAAAAGAGGAGAGTTTTCTCTTTTAACAAACAAATATAATACAAACCAATGAAACCAAACTTCTCCTACAGTGTAAGTAGAGCAATGTCCACTTTTGGTGTAGGTCAAGATTTCTGGAAACCTCCGAAATCTGGTTTAGCCCGCTTGTCCTTAAAGTAAGTTAAAGCGACCATATAGACCAACCTAGACCATACAAATATGAGCACACGTTTTCTATGATACTGTTTCCCCGTTTTGGGATAAAGATTCAAACTGTTTGCACAAATAGATCATATACATAGCTTTTTCTCTGTAAAAAATATTTTACTCTCGTCTTTTGACATTATTTTTCCATAAAAACACCCCATGAACAGACCAATTTATTCTGCTCACCACCGTCATTGTCCCTATACATGACATAAACTTTTGTGTAACTTTCCCCTCTGAAACTCTAAATGCAAAAGAAAACAATGCGAGTCTAGTTTTGCAACACTATTCCAAATTTGATCAAGTATTTTTTTTTTTACAATCCATGGTGCAGTTGACTTGAAGTGATGTCAGAGGTGTTAAAAGTACATCATCTCATTTGAAATTCAGCTTATAATTTGTATTTATATTCGTTGGGAATTGTTAAGGAGAAGAGGTGCCAGGACCAGAGAAAAAGATCAACTCAAATGAGTTCAACACAAGCGGTGTGGACTAATGACTACTAAGTACTATGCAATAATTATGTTTTATTCTCTCTCCCTATATATTATAATGAATTTGAATGTACCGGTAAAAAAGAAAAAAAGGAATGGTAGACCAACTGGAAGCTACAGAGACACAAGTAGTTCAGTAAGGATAAGGTAATCACCCACAGCATGGATATGCCCAGATTGGAGAAAGTGGCCAGGGACAGGCAAGCGTGGCATCGACTGCTCTAAGCCTTATACCCAGCGGTACTCACGGAGGTAACAACACATCTGGTTGTATTGTAAAGCGCATACTTCATGGCATGTAAGCTATGTTAACTACATAAATAAATGCGATTACACTATTACTATTAGTACTCAACTCCACTTGTGTTGAACTCGCTCGAGTTGATCTTTTTGATTAGTAAGGTTTTATTTAGTTTTCGTTAGAGTTTTATGGCACTTGTAACACAGTACGGTCATATAAGTGCCGAAGATTAGAGGTGTAACATGAGAGAGTAACAAACACAAAAAAGGAGGAGAAATCAGGACGATAGATGTTTGTTGATAGGAAAGAAGTGAAGGAGCAAACCACACCAGAGCACCTGCCAACCACCCACTTAGTGAAGTTTTATGGCGCTCCCAACTGCATAAAGTCATATATTCATATGGGTTGATCTTTTTCTCCGGTCCCAGAACCTCTTCTTCTTTACAGTTCACTCCCTAATGTTTAAGTGGAACTTGGGAAGAGTTGATCTATTTTTCACTCCCCCAAGACAACTCATTAACCCTATCCATACGCCCTGGGGTCATTTTGTACCCTCAGGGTCGTATTCTTCACATTTTAGAATAGGCCTACTTCCAGTACGATCTCTTTGAAACTTTCAGTATTTCTCAAAAAATCATTTTGACAGACTGCATACGGACCGGATTAACGAGCAATTTCCTCTTTGGAAAGTGGTGGCACAGAGTTCCCCACGCCGCATGGATACGATAATAAAACACGGCGTACGGATAGCGTCAATAGCCGACTGTTGTATTCTAATTCTAATTGAATTCACAGAAACACCAGTACACCTCACCCAAGCTGCTCTGAACTCCACAAATTTGCAGAGTCACAATCACATAAAACTAAAACACAACCAGGCAACCAGCAAAAAGTGAGGAAAACCATGGGGAGACATTCTTACTGCATTTCATTTTATTGTCAGTCTCACTGCTTGCTTTACACAAGACCAAGCTGTCATAGCCACACCAACATGTAGTAAGGATAAATAGGATTTTCTTGTATGTGTTTGATAGCTCCGCCTCACAGCAAGCCACTGTTGCTTCACAGGGAACACGCCTCCTCCCGCGTGCACATGTGCATGTATTTGTGTTTGTGTGTGTGTGTGTGTGTGAATGTGCATAACCCATTGGTAGTGGACATTTGGGACTCTACACCCGAGTCATAATATGTATCCATACAATCATAAGAAGATGAAATCTTTTCATTTAGTGCAGCTATGTTTTCATCACAGACAGAAAAAGGTTCAAATTAAGTTAATGATTAATTAGTAAATGTGTTCCACATTGACCAGACTTGAAACTATATAACAAAATGGTACTTCACTGTTCACAGAAAAAAATGAGCTAGGCTATACGGAGACTCGAGAAGATCAGAAATTTGTCTCAATAATCAGGGGGGGGAACAAAAAGGAACGAATATTGAAGGAAGTAGGGGGAAATGAAAAATAAAATGGTTTTATATTATAAAGTTACTATGGAACCAAACGATATCATGTCTAGTTCACCCAACTGAGGTGCCATGTTCACTGTGCTGTATGTCTCAAGTCAATGATCCTGTTCTGGTAAAAGAAACGTAAAAACCAGATTTAAAATGATAATATAATCCCGCAAGTTCAATTAAAGCAATATTTCCATACCTAGGTAGGCTACTGTAAAAGAAGAGAGTCTGCACGCCGTCAAATTATCCCAACTTGACAGGGTTCACATAACTTGATATATTTATGGCAACTGCAGGTCACAAGTACAGCAGACCAACACCACCTTGACGAGGTGATCGATACCTCCTCAACGAGGCGATACCTTCCTTATGAGGCGACATCTTCCTAATGACTTGTTTGCATCCTCCACAAGGCACACAAGATCTCTGAAACCACCTCGGCAAAAACGAGGCACTTAGATCAAGGATGTATTATATTGATGGTGTCCGGCGCATGCCAATATTTTATCAAATTCAACTTTTGATTATGTTGTAAAGCAGGGTCAAACACAATCATCTCGAAAAATGATGCAAAAATTCCAACATTTGGAAGGGCATGAAATATCGACATGAAATTTGATTTGAAGTAGTCTTTGATAAGATTAATTACAAAGTTTTTAGCCTCTCCAGTAAAATAGGCTTCCTGGGAGATGGCCCAACTGTGCCCAACACCATCAATATCAATGTCTGCAAATTTGGGGTGAGGGAGCCCCATCCCAGTGCTAAAACAGAAATCTCTACAGAAGAGGCACTTCTGAAATTCTGACAACCTCGCTGACAATCACACCTGTGTAGCATTCATAATCAGACATAAAAGCATCTTCTGAACTACAAGCACATAACCATTGTGGCTTGATTCCCCCTTTTCATTTCTATATCTCTCTTCAACCCACTTTATCTATCAGCAAACCGAATTACACTATCAAGGCAAAAGCTAAAGCATTCTCATGGCAAAACTGTTCTTACATCTACAGACTTCCACCCCTTACACCTGCCTATGGCTTCAGCACAACTTCTCTCACACAAACACTAATAAAAGCAATACATACATGTAAGAAATCCGACAGCTCTCGAGATATCACATTGACTTGTGGGGTGCTTAACTCATTCCTTTTATGTAGCAACAATTACAGCACAAATTCTCTTCAACCACACTATTTCAAGTTTTCCAACGACCTGAGATTATGGAAATAAAAAGAGGAAATGTCTAAATTTGGAACTGCAGATTCAAAATAAGTCTTTTTTTTCTGCCACTGTCCCCGTCCCAGCAGTTGGAGACCTCAGAGAACCCACTAGTTTCGCAGGGGTGGGTTTTTTTGTTTATTGTGCAAAGCCATCAGCTCGAACGAGTGATACAAAAGAATACAATTGTAGAGAGCTACAAGGAACACATTGAATCAATGACCACAGCTACAATATGCTATCCATAATAATATTCCCTGAGCACGGGTTTGCTCACATTACAACTGTTGTGACCTTGTGGAGGATGCAAGGAAAATTCCATGATGAAAACTATGAGAAATCTTTGTCAAAAGTAAAAGGGGGAACACCGCTTCTTTCAAGTTCTGATCTACGTAAAAGATAAAGGTAGCCGATAGTTTAAAAAATTGAGCAAGAAGCTTGCACGCTTTACGGCCACTTGTGTTCATCATCTGCTACTGGAGCACTGAAAACAAAAAGAAAAATGACAGGCATTTAGTCCAAGAATCATTATATAAAAATATATAAAAAACCCAACAAAAAACAACCAAAACCAAAAAGTGTATGAAGTAAAGTATTGTCACAATCAAAGTACAATTGAGAAAGTCATTCCCCCCTCCCAGGTCTCTGTGCATTCATACAATAGATGGTCAATTATTTGTTCTGTACCCTCAATATGGAAGACATTTGCTATGTGCAATAAAAATGGAAGCAGTTGACAATAGAAAAAAAAAATGGTCTGGGCAAAATACTGATGCCGTTTACACATGCACGACAGCATCAATTTGTCCTGTTTCAATGTTGGCAGCAAAATAACAGTGTGCCGCAATCATCTTTCCAGGCTGGCGAATTTTTCCACACCCAAGCGAGACATCAAACGTTACATCATCAGATTCTCCAACAACAAACAAAATTACATCAACTGAGACTGATTTGGCGTTGTGTATGTGAAAAGGCTCTCTAGGCGTAGAGTTTGTGATGAGGCTCTCAAATTCATGACTGTCGGGGACTGTCCCAGGAAATTCTAGACTGTCTGCAAGCCTGTTTTTCTGAATGAAAACGTGTGTGTGCACGCGCGCTTGCATGGGTGTGTGCATATATATATATATATTTGTGTGTGTAGGCATTTAAACTTTACTTTCCTCGACATTAGTGAACACTCACCTTCTGCCATCTGGTGAGAATCTGTGGTCTGTTGGCTGGGGAGTCCCGGGGCGCGAAAGCCTGGCGGGGGGTTGCGTGTGTGTGGGGGCCAGCCCCCGGATCCAGCCAGAGGGAACTGCTGGACAAAGGGCAGTCTGTGGGAGGGGCCGTCCGACTCTGTCAGTTGCTGCAGAGACTTGAGCCAGTGAGGAGCGGTCTCCGGGAACAAACCCGCTGGGGAGAGGAGTAGAGTTGTAATACAAGGTGAAAGGCATTGATGTTTGTTTGTTCGGGGGGGGGTGTTGGTCATAGTTTTTTCTACTGCACTTGCAATACAGTTTTTTCAGTAAGAGTTTTAAGGCACTTGCAACACAATAAGGTCATGTCTTGCAAATCAAATACGTCATTTAAGTGCCAAAGATTAGGTGTCACTAGAGAGTAACACGCACAGAAAAAGGAGAGATAAAGACAATAGATGTCCGACAGAACAGAAGGAGCACAAACCACACCAGTCATTTAGTGCTGAGAAAAAGTAAGACAAAGCGACAGTGTCACAGAAAAAAGAGGGAAAGTAAAGAAGTTTGTCTTTTCAAGAGTAACCAACCACCCGCCATAACACAGCATCAAACCTAAAACTAACACAACATAACAAACACCACCTTTTGTTGCTTTAGCTAGTCAATATTTGACACCTCTGCATTTCCCACAGCATAAAGCATGATCAACTGCGCAGACAAGGGAAACAGGACAAGACATTGTGCAGAAACACAACAAAAGTTGGAACAACAACCCCCCCCCCCAAAAACAAACAAACCACATGTCACCAGAAGCAAAGAGAATGATAATGACACTAAAATGAACAAGACTGCACACTGGAACTTTACTGAACAGAAAGGAAACAAGACGAGAATGTTTATCAGAAATATACAACAGAGCCAGCACTCGCACGCACACACAAAAAATTAATAAATCCCCCAGAATCTAAAGGAGTGATAAGAACACTGAGAAGAAAAAGGCACACTGTTACTGTTTTCCCAGAGAAGGAAAACAAAGACAAGAATATGATGCAGAAATACATGAACACTTGGCACAAAAAGACGAGACACAACTCCCTCAAGACAAATAGGAGATAAAAACACAAAAGAACACTGAATGAGCATGCCACACAGGACTGTTGATGAACCACCTGCAAAAGACGGGGGGACATCTGGCATACCTGCAGGATCTGAAAACTGACTGGTAGTCAAAATGGCTGGATCATTCCACGGAGAATCGGGAGAGCTGGACAGAGGCCAACCTGGCAGAGGAAACGCAAACGATGTCATGTCCTTCTCTTTTTTTTCTTACACACCCCTATCCCAACACTAACATTGTCATGTCCTCCTCTCTTTCCTACACACCCCTATCCCAACACTAACATTGTCATGTCTTCCTCTTTCCTACACACCCCTATCCCAACACTAACATTATCATGTCCTCCTCTCTTTCCTACACATCCCTATCCCAACACTAACATTGTCATGTCTTCCTCTCTTTCCTACACATCCCTATCCCAACGCTAACATTGTCATGTCCTCCTCTCTTTCCTACACATCCCTATCCCAACGCTAACATTGTCATGTCCTCCTCTCTTTCCTACACATCCCTATCCCAACACGAACATTGTCATGTCCTCCTCTCTTTCCTACACATCCCTATCCCAACACGAACATTGTCATGTCCTCCTCTCTTTCCCACACACCCCTATCCCAACGCCAACATTGTCATACCCTTCTCTCTCTTTCCTACACATCCATATCCCAATGCTATCAATGTCATGTCCTTCTCTCCCTCCTCCATATCATAACCCCCCCCCCCCCCCCCAAAGAACAGACACCATAGTAAAACATACACAACAGTCGGGCCCCCCCCCCCCCCCCCCCCGTCCCCCAAAAAAGTACCACCACCTTCTTCCTCACCCCGCCCTTGGAGCAAATGGTTGGACCATAAAGAGAAAAAAAAACAGGAAAATTTTTATTCCTTCCAAAACACACCAATGGTTAATGCCACATCTTTTTTTGGGGGGGGGGAATTAAATTCTAGAGACGGGAACTTTTCATTTTCAAGACAATCCTGTCAACGCCGCATTGGAAGGGACACTGTAGTGCACGCGACAGCGATTTGGCTAAACAGTAACAGCTACATCTTCTTATGGGCAGACTAGGACAAAAGTTACATGAAAAAACAACTTTGCACAGCTCTCAATTTGCTTCCTATTTTAGGGAGAAAAAACAAAACAAATCCGCTCGGATAAACACCTGTCCATGACAACCCAATCACCTGTCCAAACGACCACCTCCCTTCTTTTCATTTTTTTTCTATATGTTATAATGATGACACTGCCCATGACACACACCTAAGACAACCACTTTTCTCCTCGACAATGGGTGACCACCCAGGGACAATTTCCACTGTACTTACTTTTGTTTAAATGCTGGCTCTGATGTGTGTGGTGCATGGAACTGGGAATCTGTGGCTGCTGCTGGGTTTGATGCTGTTGTTGTTGTTGTTGTTGTTGTTGTTGTTGTTGTTGCTGCTGCTGCTGCTGTTGGTGTGGCACTGAACCAAAACTGATGTTGATGTTTGGAAGCATTGATCGCAGCTGCTCCTGCATGTCTTTCATATTGTACAGTTCACGCTGGAGGAAGATAACCAAAACGAGATACATGTTAGGTTATACAATATCCGTATGAAGAAAATACAAAAATCGAAGAGAAAAACAATGGATAAAACTTATAAAATTCAAACTTCTTAACAAACTTTTGTACTAACCAGCCAGAGTCAAAGGTATAGAAACAAGCAAGGGTTTCTAAAGAGCAGTTTTAAAGAGCAAGCTATTTCTAAAATGTATTGCTACAACAGAACATATTGTTAGAAAAAACCCAAAAAACTTCTGTTTTAGTTTTCGTACAAGTTCTTGGCTTTGGAAACGCAAAAAGGTGATGTAAGTGCCAAAGTTTAGAAGTGTTACAGTAGTGGGACAGATTCATCTGTGACCCACCCGATACCTTAACTCTCAGCAGTTCACCGAAAGGAAAATCGTACGAATTCGTACGATGAGCATCGGGTGTAGATCTAACGGCAGAAATCCATTCCTTTTTACATTTTGATGCTTCTAATACCTTTTTTATCATAAAAAAGGGTTGAATCTATATATTTTTCATAAAAATAATCATAATTTATAAAATATTGTAAAAATTTGGTGCACGGAAAATCAACGTTTGTTTACGTTCTCTCCGCCGCCATTTTGGATTTTGGGAGAAGGCCAGCTGTGAAGTTTCTACACTAAAAATCGGAAAAAAGCGTAAAAATGTCGTCAGATGAGTCTGATATTGACCTGAATGACTCAATGGATGAAGAATCTGATGTCTGGGTACCAGAATCGGACGATGAGGGTCCCGAGGACGGAAACCAAGCCCCGACTTTGACCAATCGTGATCAAAACAACAGGTTAGTGTTTTGTTTACATCCTGCCTCTGCACAAGAAAGCCTATAAAATGTATTCTAGTGGGTTTAGGCCACTGGTATTGTTACTTCAAGCTTACAGAATAGTTATTTGTGGTAACCTGAAGTTGTGAAAGCATGGTTTGCCTCTAAAAAATTTTAATTAACCTTTTTTATGTGCCTAGCTACGGTTGTCATGTTATTGTTTACACAGCAATTCCTCAAACAGGAAGTTTGTTTTTGTTTACACCTCACCCGTGTACAGTAGCCTTATTCCCTGCTAAGATTTTATCATTGTGATAATATGATGATAATGACAGAACAGCTTTGTTCAAGGTCTGCCTCTGTCTAGATCTAGATCTAGATCTAGAAATAAGTGCCTATGACATAGGCCTTATCAACATGTCAACTTCGACTCCGCCGATAGCGTCCTAATCCTTTGCTTATTTTCTTCCCTCAGAAACTAGCCACAACCTCCACGTAACCAGTCTTACGCGGACCAGGATGATGGCCCACCAGAACCACTGCCTCAGTTTAGGCCTGCCGTGCTGTTGGCCTGCATCTCCCTGACTGTATCACCCGACAGGACATCCGAAGTTTTCTGACGCCAGGTGAGAGCATTATTGCACGGAGTACGAGAAATTTTTATTTTTGTAATTGCTTTCTGTTTGCCCTTACTTCACTCCGACAGGCAGGTGAGTTCACTGATTCACATGTTACACCTGGGGACCTTTGTTATTCATTTGTAGAAAACACTCTTGATGCCATTATGTAGTTAAAACTGATATTACCTTGTGGGCCAGGATTTTCTGACAGTTCGATTGATGTCAGTGTTCCAAGCAGACTATCCTTTCCAAATGACTTATGTAACTTATGTCTTCTTCTTGTCTTCTTATTTCCTCAGCATCCTTCTTCAAACTGTTTTTCTGCACTGAGATGGTGAATCAGATCTGCCTCTTCTCTAATGAGTACGCCCCGATGACAGGACCCAACAAACCATCTGTCTTTCGCTCCTGGGAGGATCTTGACTCTGAGATGTTTCTCAAGTTCGTTGGACTGCTAATGTATATGTCTATTGTTCATCTACCAAATTTAGAGCTGTACTGGTCTACGAAAACCTGTTTTCATGGACTATGGGCAAGGGCATACATGAGCAAACTAAATTTCAAACAAATTCAGTCTTTTTTTAAATTATGCAATCCAGACACTGAGCGAGATACTGATAAGCTACGGAAAGTTAGGTTTGTGCACTATTTTTTGAGTATGAAATGTATGAAGTATTGGCAACCTAACCAGTGTGTTAGCATAGATGAGAGGATGGTTCAAAATAAGGGGAGATACAGTTTCAGGCAATACATAAAGGATAACTAAATGGGGGATGAAGTTACGGGTGGTTGCAGATTCGATGAATGGGTACACATACAATTATGAAGTTTACACAGGGAAGGATGGGGGCACACTATTGGATATTTTTGTTTCAATAAAAATAGAAACTGTTTGCTTGCAGAGCATACTGTAGAATAGTCTTTTGCCACTTACTACAATTATTGGACAGTTGAGTAGAAAAATGTTTTTTGTTTTAGGAGAGGTTTTACAGCGCTCGCAACTGCAAAAGGTCATATATGAGCGCCAAGGGGTGGATGTCAACAGAGAAGTCCTTACAGGGAATCAGACTTACTCTGCTCTCCTCTCTAGCTTCAACAGCACAAAGTCTGCTTTGACTATCAAGGCACCCCGGAAATAGTGGGTCACAAGAGTGTGACAAACTTACAAAAGAGGTAGAGGAAAATGACGATACTAAGGATTAGGAAAGAAAAAGCAGCAGTTCCCTGTTGTAGTTCAGGCACAGTTATGAGCATGACATTGTTGGATCAGCCCATTTACAATTCTATTGTGCATTAGGATGAGAAATGTCCCCCCTTTTGGAATGCCTAAAGACACTTCAGTCAGTGGCACTGCTGTGGGGAGGGGGAGTAGAATGTTTTTCCGTCATGGACCACAATGATGTAAAGTACCGTACTACAATATTTTTGTCTATTTTTCCATGAAAATCTCTGTTGGTATTGGTATTTTGTATGACTACAGTGTGTTCTTGTCATTTTGAAATATTTGGTATTGCCTTGTCTGTTTTGAGTGCAATTTTGTGGATGGAAATTGACTGGAAAGTCATTGATGTTTATTTTTTCTATGTCGCGTCGTTATTTCTTCGCGAAACATGATAAATGTATCTTTTGTCAAAAACCTTGTAACTTTTTTATCTTTTTTTCAATATGCATGAAATTTGGACACACATTGCAAAATTGGAAGTGCTTTTACTCCATAATAAACTTTTTTGGGTATCTTAGAACACTTTTTTTTTTTCTTTCTTTGTGACTGTTACATGTTGGGAAATTTTATCTTTTTTTCCCCTGTCCCTCCCTCTAATAACAGAGCACTACATAGACAACAGTGGTCATATCATGATGAAATTACCTTCATTTGATAGGAAATTCAATTTCCTTTCCAATGGTATGTAATTTGACATACTTTCTGTGGTATTTTATATTCTATGGTAAATCATACTAACCATGGGTGCCGTGAAGGCGAAAATGGTCAAAATACCAAGAACTGCTGAGAGTTAAGGAGGTTCAACCAAAAAAACAACAGATCCCAGATAAAAAACCCGACATTACTTTCAAGCCACTAGTGCATGAAGACCACAGGGGAAAAACGATGGTTGTCATAAACTGGAAATTGTGAGGGTGCCAAGTTTAAAAGCTTGTGGACTCAAAACTTCACATTTGTTTGACTGGTGGTTTATTGTTAAGTGTTGTAGAATGGGAAGTCTAACAACAGTAATCAACAAACAGTTGAACAGAAATACAATTATGAGTCAACAAGCGTTCAAAATTGATACCCCCACGATTTTCAGTTTGTGACTACCTTAGTTTTTTTCCCTTGCAGTCTTCACATGAGTGCCCAAATAGCAAACAGATCCGAGAGAGCACACACGACTGACCTGTTGCTGCTGTTGCTGTGCGTGAAGGTCCAGCGGCATGCTGGGGTAACTGTGTAGGGGAGGGAACCGCTGCTGTGTGGCGGGGGCAAACTGGGGGAGAAGTTCTAACATTTTCGAGCTCCCAATCTCTGCTGGAAAGAAACATGGAAGAATAGTGTGGGTTAGTCATAATACAGTCTCCTAAGACATTCCACATCAACATGATAATGGTCATTTACTGCTGAGAAAAAGGAAGACAGACCGAAACAACAGAAGGAAAGAAATGAAGTAGGACCTGCAAGTGGCCCTCTCCAACCGCCCACTTCAAATTTTCGAACACAGTTTAGTTTTTTAGTTTTAGTAGACGCTTTACGGCGCTCGCAACCGCATACGGTCATATGAGCGCCAAAGGGACGAAGTCAACAGAGAAGTCCTTACAGGGAATCAGACTTGCTCTGCTCTCCTCTCTAGCTTCAACAGCACAAAGTCTACTTCGACCATCAAGGCACCCCGGAAATAGCAGGTCACAAGAGAGTGACAAACATACAAAAGAAGTAGAGGAAAATGATTGAAAGGATTAGGAAAGAAAAAGCAGCAGTTCCCTGTTATAGTTCAGGCACAGTTATGAGCATGACATTGTTGGATCAGCCCATTTACAATTCTACTGTGTATTAGAACAAGTAATGTCCCCCCTTTGGGAATGGCCTAAAGACAGTGGCACCAGGGGGTGGAACACAGTTTGGAGAGGGCCTCAACACCAAATAAATGACCACATAATATGAAAAAAAAACCTGTTGAATTATAATTGACCCAGTGCACTATTACGAGAGCATTTTTATCATGATCTAGCTCACAGCGATGTGTATACAGAAAGCAAATGAGTAGACTCTACATAAACACAATGATAAAAGTACAAATATTTGGTGAGAAGAGTGCTAAGACTACCATTCTCTTCAGATAATAACATGAGAGACCAATAGATCTATATCAAATGGCAATACTTTGGCGGGGTTTAAAACAGGGATTTTACAAACAAATTTCTTCCCCCACCTCCCCCTATGCAGTTAACAAAATACAAAAAAAGAACATTCTAGAGAGTCATCATCATTGCCTTTCTCACCCTGCACCAGGGTATAGGCTAAGAATAAACACATTCCACCTTTCTCTATCCTGGGCTAGCCTCTTTATGTTATTCCAGGTCTTCCCACTTTTGTGTACGTGAATTTTACAGAGTACTTTTATATTTATCCGCCGCTTATACCCTTTTGAGAGTCGCGGGAAGAAAGAGACGTCTCTCTGCCACCAGCCGGAGAGTTTGGATTAGGGGGATGACATGAGCTGTTAGTGTTTCCCTGACTCCATCTATCCAAGTCTTTCTCGGTCTGAAGAGTAGCACAAAAAAAAAACAACTCACCAGGCCTGAAGAAATGCTGTTGTTGTTGCTGCAACTGCTGCTGCTGCTGCTGTATATGGGAGATTGAGAAGCCCGGGGGCAGGTTTCTCAGAGGAGGCTGAGTATTGTTCTGGTGTGCTGTTGGGGCCACCGAGTGTGCGGGGAAGCCGGTACTGTGTGGGGGAGAGGCCAGCCGCCGGCCCTGGAGGTGTGGCCCGGCCGCCTGCTGGTGTAGACTCTGTTGTTGGTGCATGCCGTTCTCCTTCTCTATAAGATCTGCCAGGCCTTTGAATGATTCAGCGCACGGATCGAAACCTGAGGAAAAAAATTGAATCATCAGTACAAGGTGATGATGTTTTGTTTGAGCGACTCATCAGATGCGCATCGACACAATAACAGTCATTAAGTGCTGGGAAAAAGAGATACAGACAAAAACAACAGAAGGAAAGTAACCTAATTTTAAAGAATGTATTATATTTTATGAAGGAGTACTACTTTGACAAGTCTGTAAAAAAGATAACCAGTCATAGACAGAGCTAAGTACTCATCTTTAAAGGAAAAACGATAATATCAAAGCTGTCCTCAGAAGAAAAGCAATTTGATATCCTTTGAGAGAGCCTAATATTGTGGGTAAATTGTTGCAAATCTTGCTAAGGGCCACTTTGAGAGTCCATTTTTTTTCCTTGTGGGCATACAACATCCATGCCTAAACTCCATGATTTTCAGTGGATGGACCCGCATAATTCAGCTGGACTGAGACACATTTGAAACCAGTGGTATCTGTTACATGTGTTGAAGAATATAACAAATCATAATTCTTTACTTTGAAAAAGCAAGAAAAGATGCGTTAAGTATTATGTCTACAATTTTTACAAGACTGAAACAGTTTTTCTCTGTCCTTTGTTTTCTGAGCCGAGAACAGTTGGGACAGCTTGCTGACTTCATGATGTTTCTCACTGACCTAGATCATCATCTGGAGGCAAGTCTTTGCTTTTAAACCCAAAGGCAGCGGACCAGTCTGTGCTGGAGGACACCGGCAAGGAGTCCGCCATCTCTGGATTTGGCAACGAAACATTTGGCATTTCTGCAGAAGAGAGAAAAACGAAGGTATAATCAGAACACAGCGAAACCCGTTAAAACATTATTAATTAGTCTAATTACCACAGATTAATCCTATCCACCTTTTTAGTTACGTTTTAGTAAGAGTTTAACAGTACTTAAGACACAAATAGGCCACATAAGTACAAAAAACAAGAGGTGCTACTAGATATATAGTAACATACAATGAAAAGTAGGACAGATAAGCACGATAGATGTTTGATAGGAAAGAAGGAGCAAACCGCATCAGAACACCTACCAACCACCACGTAAACGTAGGTAAAATTAAAACAAAGCCAAAACAATTTATAATAAGCAACAAGTCACATTACAACGGGGCCAATCGCATCAATCTTCTACACGGTTGTTGTTTATGGCAACACAGCATAGTAACAGATGCACATTGTCAGAAACAAAAACAGTATAGGGCGGACGGGGGGAAGAAATTCCATGACAGGTGTCTGTAATAGCAGATTTGACTTTTCTAACCACAGAGCCCACCAAACCAGCCAGAAGCAACTAGTAGCGCAAACAATCTTGGAACAATCAAGCAGACGAGACACGTTAAATAACCAAGGCCAGGACAAACCTTGTGATGATGCACTTGGTGACGGGGCCTGCTGGGGCCGCGCAGGACACCCTGGGGGAAGCAGATTATTACCAAAGAATGAAAGACCTTGGGCACCATTGGCTTCGGACATAACTGGCCTTCTGTTAGACCCAATAGCACCAACCATACCGCATAAGACAGGATCTCCAGACTGATGCGGATGTTGAAGCAACGAACTCTGTGGGGGAAAGACAAACATTTCAGATGAATAAAAAAACAACACAAAACCAACGAATGACTACCACAAGGCAGTAAACTTTTATGAAAGTCCCCTACAGCTGTTCATTTACATTAGTCTCTCTGTAAAATTCAACAAGATATGAGGAAGATATATGAATTTCTACGGAGGGACTCAAACAAAAAAATTGGCTCTCGTATTTAGCGTGAGTTTGCGAAAAGACGAACACATCAATGCAATAATGATCATTCAATGCAGGAAAGACAGACAGACAAATGACACAATAAAGAAAAAGAAAAGAGGTAGAACTTAGAGGTGTTTTAAAAAGTAACATAGAGAATAGGAGGAGAAGAGACAAGGACGATATTTTAAGTTTTAGAAAGGTTTTACAGCGCCTGCAACTGCATAACACAAGGACGATAGATATTGGAAAGGAAAGAAGAAGCAAAACCACACCAGAGCACCCTGCAACCAACAGCCGAGAAAAGTTTAAAGCTATGGTACTCACCTGCCCCTGAATACCGAGCGTTGTGTTTGGGGAGCTGACTAGGGCAGAGGGTGGGGTGAGGCTGGCAGGTGGGCTGGTCACCGACGACGACGCAGAAGACGCAGCGGCAGCAGCAGACCGAGGCGAGACGGGTGGCTGCGGCTGTTGCTGACTGCTGGAACTGATCGTGGGCGGTGTAGGGAGTGGAAGACCTCGGGCAGGAGGCACGGCCGGCCCGTTGCTGAGGGGGGACAACTCCTCCCGCTCCCCACTCGGGGATACTGATGAGCTATTGCTACCACCTGGTGGGTTATTACTACTGGGGAAACAGCGACACGTCACAAAGCGAGTTAGTACAGAGAAGCACATCCACGGAATAAAGGTCATTTAGTGTTTAGTTTAAGTAAGACTTACAGAACTTGTACAACACAATAGATCATAGAAGTGCATAAGACTATAGGCGTTAGGAGAGTAACATTTTTTTTAATAAAAAAAGAGGCCAGATATGGATGTCTGACAAGAAAGAAGTCACTTTGTGTACAGAAAGAGCAAGACAGACAGACAAATAGAAACAATACACGGGGGTGGGGGTGGGAGATGTAAAAAACCTATCAGTAGTGTCCTCCACCTATACACCTGCACTTAACAAATTGTACAAACATTTAAAAAGCTGTCTGAGATTTCTCTGCACTAAAATCTGTACCACCTTCTTGCTTTAGATCACCTCTAATTGGCCCCTTGCTTCTCAAACTCAATATATTGACCCTCAACAAACACCTAAGCTCATTACTGCCGTAAGCTGACAAAAAGCCTGTTTTTTTGGTGTTTTTTTTTTTTTACTTCACAGCAGTTTCGAGAAAAAGAGGGTTTTTTTTTGTCAACGTAACCATTTAAAAATAGAGTGACTCCAAAATGTGAATTCTAATTTATTAAAAAACTAGTCAGTTTCATGTTGAATTTTTCGCACAAGTAGGGTAACTGATCAGGCTTTCGATTTAGCAGATAAAAAATGTTGTTGTCAAAATGGAAAAAAAAGGCGTTTTGTCAGCTTACGTCAGATTATTCTCCCAAGTCAACCATACTGGTGTTCAAGAAAATATCATGTTAGTTTAGATTCAGAAAGTTTTACCGTACTTGCAACACAATAAGGTCATGTAAGTGCTGAAGAGTGGAGGTGTTACAAGAGACAACAAACACAAAAAAGAAGGAGGAGAGATAAGACAGTAGATGGTTTGATAAGAAAGAATAAAACCACACTAGACTGCCTGCCAACCACCCACGAAGATATCTCATATTAGGTGCGAAAGATAAGAGGCGTCGGTACACAGCAACACACAAAGAAAAGGAGGAGAGATTATTACAATAAATGTTTTGGGAAAGAAGGAGCAAACCATACAAGAGTAGTGGCCACCAACCACCCACAAAGGTTCTCCAACCACCTGCATTAAAGCTGAGGAAAAAGCCTCACCTGTGTATATGATTTTCCTCCATTGTACCATTGACGGCACCGCTACTCCCCCTCTGCCGGCCCGCCCCCACGGCCCTGCTACTGGAACCGCCTCCCATCTCCGGAGGGGTGCCCGTTCTGTGTTGGCTTTTACCGTTACTCGACTGGAAGGAAACAGAGGGAAACGTTTAGGCCACCAAAAAATGTTTACTTGTTAGAGTAAGTTTTGAGTAAAGCGGAAGCACATCGACACAACAGCGATTATGTAGCAGTGCAGGGAAAAGAGCAAGACAGGAAAAACAGAAGGAAAGTAAAGAAGTAGAATATAACAGTGGCGCCCTCAAACCACCTCATTATTAACCTTTCATCAAAGTCGTTTACTTTAGTGCAATCTTTTCCCCCACAAAAGAACAAAAACGTTCCTGGGAGAGATTCACGTAAAAATCATTTATCATCCAAGCATTACATGCCCATTCCAATGCAAATGGCGTCATCTGTTTTATAAACACTGCTCAGTTTGCTTTTGGTTCATTTTCCCCCTGTGTGGGGAGGGGGTTTTTTCTTTTCTTTTTTTTTTTTTTTTGGGGGGGGGGGTGTGTTTAATGCCATTTTCTGAGCACCTACCTGGGCCCTACAGCTGGAACCTGAGGAACTCTCCCCTTTACTGCCACCGCCCGGGGCCGGGGAGCCCGCGGGCGACTCCAGTAGCGGCCAGCCCGACGACTGCGAGTTCTGTTGGCTCTGACTGCCCGCCCCGCCAGGGTTGGGTAACAATGGACCCGACGAGGGGAGCGAGTGCTTGATATCACCTGTCATGTCCATCAACGATGGAATCACGTCGGAATTCTCTATAGACTGCGGAGACGTAGACTTTTTCCTGCAAGTAAAAAAGGTGAGAGGGACGTGTACGTTCAGGTCTGTGGACAGAACAGGTGGGGTGTTTCGTTCAGAGAAATAAAACCCTTCCTGAAAAAGGGGCAAAAAAATTATGTCCCTCCTACACTTATGTTGTTGTTTTCAAATCCTTTTAGCTGCAAGCATTTGGCTCTTGGTGGCGCAATGCCTCCCTCAAGTAACCACATGTCCTTGTCATCTGGTCAACGCCAGAGTAGAGCAGGCTTTGTAAGTCTGTAGGTGTGTGTAGGAGCCTGCGTTGATGAACTGCTAGGTTTGGGCAGTGAAGGAGAAGATGTTCAACGGTATCCTCGTGGTACTCACAGTGTCTGCAATGGGGTTCCCACATTGGGTAAATTCTGTTTATGTGCTTGTTGGTGAGTAAATGTCCAGTGCGGGCTCTGAAAATCTGCTACTCTTATAAATACAAATGTGTCTCTACGCGGTAGAATCAGGCGCTTGACAATTTTGTGCATTTAGAGTTATTGGTATCATCTTAAAGCTTGTTAATTCGACCAGGTCGCCTGGTTTCAGAGGTAAAATTAGCGACAAAATGGAAGCCAAAGTTTGGTAATCTCCAACGCTTGAGACTCCTTGGAAATTGAAAACGTACATTTGTTGTGCCTTTAATCAATGTTTTTCAGTAAAATCCACGCAGAAATACGTTTCTAGTTCTTTTAGTTTTAGTTGAGGTTTTACGGCGCTCGCAACTGCATAAAGTCATATGAGCGCCAAGGGGTTGATGTCCACAGAGAAGTCCATACAGAGAATCAGACTTACTGTGCTCACCTCTCTAGCTTCAACAGCACAAAGTCTGCTCCCCCCTAAAGACACTTCAATCAGTGGCACCGCCCCGGGGGGTAAATATGTTTCTGAACGGACATACAAGGCGTTAAGCCAAAAAACAAAAATAACAATGACAAAAAAACTATCAAAATGGAAGTAAAATGCAGACATCTTCTATTTCATTATTTTGATGAGCGCCTGATTTCACCACGATGCCTCACAAATACTGAAGCATACAATCACCTCTTTTTCGGATTCTATCTTTCAGCTGTCTGAAGTCTGGACCACAACATTTTTCTCCAAAACTTGCTATCAATAAAAGTTTCATTTTACCCTGTTCACTTATTTCTTACATCAAAGAAACAACCTGAGACATGAGCAACAGGGAGATGTTTATTCATTAAGAAACGTGTATACTTACAATTTTGTATGAGCAGTGACGTGATTATTTGCAGAATTTTGAGCATTCAAAAACTGTTCTATCAGCATTTGTTCATACTCTTGATGTTTCCTGAGGAAAAAATCAGATTGATGTATAACCATGAGAAAAAAAGGCCAACCTGTTACAAATACAACTAACAATTTCACTCTTATTTTTAGGTTTAGTTTTACTTAGCATTTTACAGCACTCAAAACATTGTCATATAAGAGCTGAAGATTACAGGTGTTATAAGAGAGTACTACACACAAATAAGGATGACAGGTATTTGATAAGAAAGAAGGAGCAAACCATACCAGAGCAAACAACAACCACCCATTAATTCTGATTTTACTTTGGCTGGATAAAAATCAGACACAGAAAACAAATTTTGTCTTGATTAATTTGTTTCTCTTCTAAACACTTCATTCCATGTCATAAATACTAAAAATGTTTACGTACAAATAAACATGTGACACTAATCAGTGACAAGAGATCACAGCATAAAAAAAGCTGTTACATTGGTCATTCTTTATACTATTAATGATGTCAATAATTTTAGTCCGCGAAATAAACCCCTTGAATGAGAACAAAGCCAAATATTATCAAGAATCAGCAGGGCCCTGCTATAAAATGAAAATATCCCACTAGAGCATGAGCCATCACCTATTAGGAGTGTCTACACTTTGCCTTTGGTGTCAATGGAAAGAAACTAGTTGTGCTTCCAAAAATATAAAGCCTCACTTCAATGACTAGTGTGCTTACCCTGCTTGCATTTCATCTTTAGTAAAACTAGCAGCTTCTTCTCCCAACTCGTGTAAATACATACAGTCCTGGGGAAAGGAAAAAAAAAATATTCATGAATGCACTCTGCACAAAAGTCCTTGTCTTTACACTGACCTTGAGTATCCAATTTCAATATTAGTGATAATTTTGCACTGTACACGGAGCAATATATTCATCATCAACTACTTTTTAAGAATTGTGGTGCTAACTTTGAAAGATAACAAACAGGTGTAGAGGTAACAACCAAACTATAAAAATGAATGGACACTAAAATATATCTGACAAAAACATGTTCACACTGATTATAATAAACACTATGCAGAATGTATTATGGATCTTGTTAAAATAAAAATAAGTCTCGAGGGACTTCAACATGCTCTGCTATTTCTTAAACCACGTGCAGAAAATAACACAAGTAATTATAAAAACACTACAAGTTACTTACATTCTTTTGGCAATGGGAGCCTTTCAAAAAATGACTGCAGTATTTAGTAGTTCCTAGGGATGTTTTTAACGTGCGCGCATCTACATGAACATTGTTCACAGTAAGAATCGCTCTGAGAGCATCCTCTGGTTTCACATAAGTAACATAGGCACTCGCACTTGGACCCTGGGGGAAAAAAAATGGAGGAATCTCGATGAAAGGCGAAGCATTGAAATAGATAATTAATTATTTTCCCTTTTTATTAATACAAAGAATCAACTGTCGCTTAAACAGCCAGAGTATTTGACGGCAGCAAATCTTTTGTTGTTACTTCTCACATGAGAGCAAGAACCTGCTAAACACTTCCGTTGATATTTTAATCTCCAGAGCATTACTTCAATTAAACTTTCCCATTATAATTTGTGACTGCCAGGGGAGAGGGAAGAAAAAAACCATTCAAGGGTTATTGTTATTCACAAGGAAAGCAATGAATGTAGTGCATGGTCTATGAAACAAAAATTATTCATAAACTTAGATGAACAATTGCATGGTACACATTTTGCACAATACGAAATTTAAATACAAACAGAAACATAGTACTCTGCACACGTTAGTCAACAACAATGAAATGTTTTGAAATGTTTATGGACAAACAAACTTTGTTCTTTATCATTTACAGTCAAGTTACAGAGAGTTCAGACCAGACAGTTTTGTTACAATTGTATAAGTTTAATGTGATGTTAACCCTCCCCGCTCTAATCCATCTCAACACACCTTTGAGTTTGCTTTTTGAGACATCCCCTGTAACATCTATCATGCCCATAACTTTGGTTTTTCAGAAGCCCCCCCCCCCCCCCCCATCATTGTATTAGTCAGAAGAGGGTTATACAACACAAAATTTGACATCGTACATCTACCAGTCACATAAAAAACACACCTGGGAGCCTGCGTACGATGTACTCTGATTTATCACCACCTTATGAATCTTCCCAAATTTGCCAAAATACTCGTGCTTTTTTAGCACCTCAGGATCTGCAAGTCGAGGGGACAGACCTACCACAAACACCAGGTTCCTTTGCACAACCCTGGTAAGATACACACATACGCACATTTTACATGACTGCCACAATATTAAGGAACGGGATAGTTAGCAACAAGTACAACTTACCACTTTTTAATTTATCAATGTTTTGAGTTCTCAGCTCATCAAATGTGAGCATTGTAAGGATTTTAATGGGTATTTGAGATATATTTAGCATAAAATCCATCGAACTCGTCTTTACATTAATTCCACAAATAATATTTCATTACTTAATACACACCACCAAAAAATGTTAAACATCAAAATTCATCAACAAATCATTAACCCATAGACTGCAAACTGTATATGCACCCCTAACATTGAGAAAAATTCCAGTGCATGAGACATCACAGACCTCAATCAACAGTTATTTGTTTATTTTATGAGACGGATAAGTAGATGAAATAAAGAGAAGGCTTTGTCTACTGGCATGGACTAGGCAGAACAAGCCATATGTTAATAACGAAAACATGGAGACTAAACAAGCGCTCTGGGCCGGGATTTTAGCTGGTAGGAGATGCGCCTACACTGCAGTCAACAGGTTAATAATAAAAAGTCGATATTAAATACCAAATGAATACTGGGATGGATAAAAAAAGCATTTCAGTCCATAAAAGAGAGACATGACTGGAAAGCAATTTACCTGACATTGGCTAAGTGTTTTCTGTTCTCCGCAGCTTTTTGCTTTCTTTGCACATCTTTTTGTTTCCTCTCTTTCTTGATGTTTTGCAATCTGTTGCCAGGAAAGACAAACATTTAGCAAAGCCTACACTCATCACAAATTGGTCACCCTTTGTTGAACTTTAAAAGAAGACACTTTATCACCAGAAAAAAAACCCAACAACAAAAGCAATCAATTATCTTGAACTTTGACCGTTCTGTAGATATTCGATCTCCTCATCACAAACAATTAGTCATAAGCTTATGCCATCATAGAGCACAGCCTGCAGTGAGTCATTACTGAGACATCAACCAGTTACCCAAACTCTCAAGTAATTCCAACACTGACAAAATGCTCTCAAACTCTACTTAACCTATTTCAGAAAATCCAAAATGAAACAAACAAAAACAACATCAAAATCATTCATTTCTCCGAATAATTGTAACAGAATAGGGCTGCCCACCCACCAGCACATGTTTCAGTAATTAACATAAATAACTAGTAATCTTGTTTTAAAATTTGTAATATGGCCATGGAATGCAATTTGGTCTTTCTCCCCCCATAGTGTCAAGGACGAATGAAATGTAAACTAAGGAGTGATGAAAGTGGTATCTGTTGGCTTTTCCTTGTCCAGTGAGGAAAAAAAGGACCTTGTAAGTGTGTGGTTGTTGTTAAATGTGTGGTTGTAAGTTATTGGCTGTCGGCCTGCCTCAGTTAAAAACAAAAGAAAGGGACTTGGTTGTTTTGTTTTAATAAGTTTTTTCTAGTTCCAGTAAGAGTTTTACGACACTTGCAACACAACAAGGTCATATAAGTGCTGAAGAATAGATGTGTTACAAGAGAGTAACGTACACAAAAAAGGAGAGATAAGGACGATAGATGTCTGATAGGGAAGAAGGACAAACCACACCAGAGCACCCGCCAACCACCTACAGTAAGGTTTTACGGTGCTCGCAACTGCATAAGGTCATATGAGCGCCAAGGGGTGGATGTAAACAGGGAAGTCCAAATGCGGAATCAGGCTTACTCTGCTCACCTCTCTAGCACAAAGTCTGCTTCGACTATCAAAGCACCCCGGAAATAGCAGTTCGCAAGATAGTGACAAACATACAAAAGAAGTAGAGGAAAATGACGATAGTAAGGATGAGGAAAGAAAAAGCAGCGGTGCCCCTGTACGTGACATAGACTGACTGTTTTTCTCCCTTATAAGGCAGGAGGGTGGGGATGAAACTGACTGGACACTTCACAGGCCTTTTGTCCTGGTTGTGTCCCACTACACACTATGTTGCTGCCACAGCTCATTGTGTCAGTCAATCTCAGACTGTGGTTTTGGGGGGTTTTTTTTGTCGTAATTCTCTCATTGGCTTACGGCTGTGTCACCCACAACCCAAAGTACAGGAATTTTTTAATACCTTGTCAAACTAATGTTTGTCTTACTCCTGGCTCTAGCACAAGTAGTAATGTTTTTCTAAGGGTAAACGGGCACTGAGCGACTGTAGGAGCGGTACTTAACGTAGACTGCCACAGTCTGGCTGTTTTTCTCCCTTATAAGCCAGGAGGAAAAAAATTGGCATAGCAAAAACAAAAAACAACAATAAACACCCCCGGCCCCCAAAGGTCGGGGTGACATATTCATCCTGTGTCATCACTTACTCATCTTCAGTGAGAGGTTTGAATTCTGCTGGGTCCTCTGGATATTGCTTCCTACAAGCTGGGCATAAACCATTCTCATCTGTGCGAATTCTATGCCAGCAAAACCGGCAAATCTGAAGAGTAATAAATATTACAGGTTATCAAGGCGTTAAACTGGAAATTTTTAAACCCAATTTTGGGCTCCCCACAACGTTCTCGAGAAACACACTCCATATTACACCTCTCCAATGTACTACTGACAAATTAAAGTGACATACTAGCCTAAACACATGAGTCCTCGGCAGTAAAAAGTTTATTAAAATCTAAAATTCTAAAGAAGACTGTGTAACGTCTTTACCACAGACAGTTTGGATCGATAAAAACAATTTGTCAAAATACAGAATCTCTCACCAAAGAAAGAAATAAAGAGGAAATACCACTGCACTTATATCTCATATTACGGGAAAGGCATAATTCACGGTTGCATAGAGTACACTAAACATAGCAAACCAAACAATTTTTTCAATGCCTCAAGGCCTATCGCCCATTATCAGCCATATTGGGAAGGAGAGTGGCCTCAATGTATGGATGAACAGCATCCAACTTACTTGATATCCGCAGGTGCAAGGGAAAAAACTGTGATCATCGATCTCAAGTGCTTCCATGCACAAAGGACACTGAAAACAAACAAAAAACCCAAAAAATATTTGTATGAAAGCTGAAAGTTTTTTTCTTCACAAATACGCTATGAAAACACAATTAGCATATAATATATAGAGAGAGAGCAAGGCGACAAGTCAAAGTAGAATAAAAACAAATATTGTATCACCAAAATGACAACAAATTAAAGTCATTTCTTTTCACAAGAAAATCTATAATTTAAAAAAAGCCTCAAGACAAGAACAAGTATAGAACGAATAGAAGGAAGATGAATAAGCAGCATACCACCACAATACAACACTACAGTGGAACTCGGATTTATCGAGCTCGGATTCAACGAGATGAGATAGATTCCCCGGTTTTTTTCTTCTTTAAAGTCAATAAAAATAACCTGGATTCAACGAGCACTTAAATCTGCGAGCTCGCTTCCAGGGTGAACTGCCCCCGCAGACGTGGCTTAGCTCATTTTTCTCCCAGAACGAACTTTATCTATTCCCGGAAACCATCCATTGCAACTGCATCGTGAACCATTATTCGCTTAGCCGATTGCATGCGACCAATCAGCTGCCTGTTTTTTCATACGAACACATGCGTTGTTGGCTCGCGCACGCGTCTACTCTGGCGTGTGTCGGAGTCGGATGGGCGGCCTGCACACATGTGACTGTGTGTGTGTCTCGGGGAGGTAGGGGGGCGCACTAGCGATCCGGGCATTGAACGTTGCAGATACAAACGCGTCAGTCTTTTCCCCCCCTTGGCAACTGATCATTATTACAATGATAAACTAGTCTTGACGTAGATCTTCGTAATGAATTGTGTGCTTGTCTATGAAATCAAAAGTTGCTGTTATGTTAGGATCTACACAGCAACACATCTTTGTGGTAAACAATCGAGATGACACAGGAATGCATTTGAACGAGTCAGTCTCTTTCTTTTACACAACTCATAATATTCTGGCATTTCAGGCACTATTTGTGACTTCTCTTTATATATTACTTGCTCAGTGCCTGTAATTATCTACACAAAACCTCATGTTTGCTATAACGAACACTCGGATTCAACGAGATTTTAGGTTTAGGCCCAGCGACCCCGTTGAATCCGAGCTCCACTGTATCAATCATTACTACATTGCACAATCACAATGAGCTCGAACTTTAAAAAAAAAAGCCCCTGGCGGCATTTATCTAGATCTATGCAATGCACACTATACGGCTATACGAGCATTTAGCTGCTAAATCATCCTAGAAATATTCCACATCAGAGATGTACTCACTTCCGCTGGTTCATCAGACATTATTGATTGGACAGCAAGTAGAAAGCAATACTGTGTGGAACCTGTGGGAGAACAATGTACAAAAATATAGGCCCAAGTCTGACTTGCAGGATCACCATTCTTCACCTATAAATTATGTGTAGCCTAATGAGAAACCCATGGCATAGCACAGAATCTCCAGGATATGTTTCTGTAAGTCATTCAGGAATGAGACTTGCGACAAAACATTTTTTGTCCATGATATATAAATAGATCTAGATTTAGATCTAGATATCTAGACCTTAAGTTTTAACGCAAAGTACAAGTACGGCTAGCCATGCCATACTTAACACCTTTGCCACCTCATCTCGCCGATTGGCGATGTTTACCACTCAGTTTCTTTGGATTTCCCCAAAATATGATGGCAAAGTGTCAAGCTAGCCATACTTAAGGACGGCTGGACTGTTAGGCAAACCGTACACAGCTCTAGCCACTTCAGACTCGAGCTGAGAATTATAAACTTTTTAACACGAATGAAGAAAGTGCAAGAGAGAGCACCACAGTCACAGTACTGAAAAGTGATGCCTTGCCTTATTTTTTTAGAATAAAATTTCAACAGGTCACAGTCGCAAGCCAAGCTAGCCCTGACCCTGTCGTGCCCTATCTATAGACTATATAGATCTACACACAATACTATGCCTACCCAACTCAAGTAAACCTACTCACTGTGATTGGTAGCCAACACCCTATTTGATCTATTATTCCCATTTTCTTCTGATCTGAATAATCTGATGAGCAAAGGGAACCAACTTGGAAATGAACTTGATACAATTTAATGCAATCAAAGGGCATACCAATCAAAGCTACAAATAAAACTGCTGAGAACAAAATGTCACATCTAATGTCAAATGACTGAACAATACTGTCACTGTCACAGTTACACAGCTTTCCAATTTCTGTCCTGGTGTTATTTACCCGACGGCAGAGAACAGAAAGTGGAAGGAAAAAGTTGCAAGATCTAGGGAGATCACAATATAACACACATGATGTTCAAAACAAATACCACACCAAAAGACGAAATGATCTCATAGATTTACGGGTAAAGTTTCCAAGTAATTGAACAAATCTAAAGAAATGACGACTTGTGACTGTTCATGGGATCTCGAGAACCATGAAAAGACAACTTGTCTTAGACCTGTATGTGGGCAGAGACCTGTCAATGGATTCAAGATCAGCAAGGACAGTCCCGAACCTCGAGGACATGGACACTACCCTAAGCCCCTGTTCATGGGAATATTGGTCATGGCAGTATTTGGGGATATTAAAAGACTCCAGACCAAGATTATACGGTTAACCATCACCACCCAAAACTTACTCCGAAATTTTTCTCAGCTTTTCCTGTGAAGCTCTCAACGACGACACTAATGCTAAAGCGCATGCGTCAACCTAAATTGCCCGGATGAGGATGAGGTAATCTCGCGTTACACTATGAGAATTCCAGTCGATCTTCCATTGTAATTGTAAACATTTCATTCACTAGCTAGCCTAGGCTACTCAGGTTCTGCCAAACCGCTAGATCTAGAAATCTAGATCATTCGTTTGCCATGTCTTTCAAAAGAGAGGGAAATGACACGCACCTTTTGGATACCTTAAGAGTATGTTGTTGTTTTTTGTATCTCCCAATGAATGATTTGTTTCCTGCAGATCCACTGAAGTTCTACTTCCATTCAGAATCAGAGTCGCGTGTGACCCGGACCGAAATTGAAAACGAAAGTAGAAACTCCAGTCAGTCCCCGAAAACTGTCTTTTTTTGTTAATGTTTGTTTCTTTTTCTATGGCCTGCGATATTCTGAAAATAACTTGACTTTTGTTTCTAGATCTAATCTAGGGTTAGAAATAGAAGAAGAAGGCTATTGAATCAGAAAGTGGCTATTCTCACCCGCCCGGAAGTTCTTGCAACATCAACTCCTCCCCTCTTCTCTCTCTCTGTCTCTTTCTGAATACTGTCTATCGGTGTGGACGATCAAATTGACCAAAACAAAGTTAAAAAATGATGTTAAAACACAAAAGTAAATTATTTTGGTTGTCTACGAAGATGCTACGGCTATTTAACTTTTCGAATCGAGCCGAACTACGCGGGTCGCCATTTTGTTTTTCCCGGAAATTCTCGCGCTACTCCTCTCTCTCTTTCTCTCTCTCTCTCCACTGCCCACAGACAAAATTGTACGCTTTTAGTAGGCTACAGTTGTAATGGAACGTTTGTTCACGGCACAGAATTCTACAATTTTTCTGTTATCACAGTGTAGAATTCTGTGGTTTAGGGTGAACGCAAAATTTGGTGAACGCGCAGCGGGTGAGAATAGCCACAAGACTCGCCTGCACTATTCTCACTCCGGGTGAGAATAGAGGTGGCCTTGAAGAATACCGGACCACTCGTACATTATTGTGCGAGAAAGAGGGGTAGGTGGGGCGGGTGGAGGTGGGAGGGGGGGTTCAGGGGGGTCTCCCCCCTGACCAAAATTTAATGAATAGATCTACCGGTCCAAGATTCTCCATTGAGAGATATTAAAAACGGGAAAATTATGAATTTCTAAGGTTGAGACATAGGCAAAGTCAGTCCGCTGGTCCGGTATTCTTCAATCTTACCATAACCGTTTGTTTCGTTTCGAAGTGATCATTAAAGTATTACCCAGACATAGAATTCATCTTTGACCCCCCGGAGCAGTTGCCACTGACTGAGGTGTCTTTAGGCCATTCCCAAAGGGGGGACATATCTCGTTCAAACATAGTAGAATTGTAAATGGGCTGACTCATGTCACGCTCATAACTGTGCCTGATCTACAACAGGGAACTGCTGCTTTTTCTTTCCTGATCCTTACTATTGTCATTTTCCTCTACTTCTTTGTATGTTTGTCACTCCCTTGTGACCTGCTATTTTTGGGTGCCTTGATAGTCGAAGCAGACCTTGTGCTGTTGAAGCTAGAGAGGTGAGTCTGATTCCCTGTAAAGACTTCTCTGTTGACACCCACCCATTGGCGCTTATACAGTGGACTCGGATTCAACGAGGTCGCCGGGCCTGACCTAAAATCTTGTTGAAACCGAGTGTTCGTTATAGCAAACATGAGGTTTTGTGTAGATAATTACAGGCACTGAGAAAGTAATCATGTATAAAGAGAAGTCACAAGTAGTGCCTGAAATGCCTGCATATTATGAACTGTGTGAAAAAAAAGACTGATTCGTTCAAATGCACTCCTGTGTCATCTCGATTGTTTACCTCAAAGTTGTGTTGCTGTGAAGAGCCTAGCATAAGGGCAACTTTTGATTTCATAGACCAGCGCACAATTCATTACGAAGATCTACGTCAAGACTGGCTTATCATTGTGTAATAATGATCAGTTGCGGAGGGGAAAAAAGACAGTGATGTGTTTGTATCTATCTGCGATGTTCAACGCCCGGACCGCTAGTGCGCCCCCCCCCCTCCCCGACACACACACACAACCACACGTGAGCAGGCGGCCCATCTGACCCCGACACATGTCAGAGTAGACTCGTGCGCATGCCAACAACGCATGTGGTGGTATGAAAAAAGGCCGCTGGTTGGTCGCATGCAATCGGCTAAGTGAATAAGGGTTCACGATGCAGTTGCAATGGACGGTTTCCGGGAATAGATAACGTTCGTTCTGGGAGAAAAATGAGTGAAGCCACGTCTGCGGGGGCTGTTCACCCTGAAAGCGACCTCGTTGAATCCGAGCTTGCTGATTTAAGTGCTCGTTGAATCCGGGTTATTTTTATTGGTTTTAAAGAAGAAGAAAAACGGGGAATCTATCTCATCTGGTTGAATCTGAGTTCTTGTTGAATCCGAGCTCGTTAAATCCGAGTTCCACTGTATGACCTTATGCAGTTGCGAGCACCGTACCGTAAAACCCTCTACTATTAAAAAAAAGAAAATTATCTTTGACTTTCGGGTCAAACTAAAACTAAAGGCTTGTTAGCTATCATACCTTTTTATATATTCGACCCATACCATATTACAGCAATATAATCTTCTCATCGGACAGTGGTACTGTCCAACCATGGTTACAAACCTTGACTACCGGACACTGCCACCGTCCAGATATGGTTAAAGAGCTATAAAGCTGTGCTTTCGATCAGTATAAGGCCAAAACCTGAGATTGCAAACAAAATTATATCTTTGAGCCCTGACCACATGAGGCTACAACAATGCCCCTCTGCCTGAGGTCCTGAATGATATAATACTAACATTAATATGATCGTCAGAATCACATTCCATATCCCACTCAGTGTAGTCATTGTCATTATTACCAGTATCAAATTCAGACATCATAGATTTGTTTGAAGATCTTTCTGAATTTGATGCTGGTAATGTTTTCCGCACGCGTTCTGTCTCAGGCTGGCCAAATTGGGAATGGGGTCACACTCACCAGTGGCAAGGCATACAGGCAGTTTTATGCACCACCGGTGGCAAGGGCTCAAAGTGTTAACAATCGTGTGTAGGGTAGGCCTAGATTCTATACATCAATATGCTTTTTATTTTTAAAGATGTCAGATTCATCTGCACAATTCAGGTTTCAATACAGTGGAGCACGGATTCAACGAGGTCGCCGGGCCTGACCTAAAACCTCGCTGAATCCGAGTGTTCGTTATAGCAAACATGAGGTTCTGTGAAGATTATTACCCGCACTGAGCACATAATGTGTAAAGAGCTTGTAACAAGTAGTGCCTGAAATGCCTGCATATTATGAGTTGTGGAAAAAAAAAAGACAATTCGTTCAAATCACGCCTGTGTCATCTCGATTGTTTGCCAAAAAGTTGTGTTGCTGTGTAAAGCCTAGCTCACGGCAACTTTTGATTCCATAGACGAGCGCTCAATTCATTACGTAGATCAACGTCAATACTAGCTCATATAATAATGATCAATCGCTGAGGGGAAAAAAAGACTGTGACGCGTTTGTATCTGCGTTCAACGCCCGGACCGCTGGTGCCCCCTACCCGACACAGTCACACGTGTGCAGGCCGCCCATCCGACACACGAATTGCACCCCTACCCCCCTTCCTCACCCGGCGGCAGGACGTTAGTTTAGAGCCGACGGAACCAAACTTGTTAGTTTTGTTTTAAATCAGGACTGAGCGGGCAAAGCATTTTCCTTCTTAAACAGGTAAACAGGTAAAACCCCCAGAAGGGAGCGGATTTTTGTTTCCGTTTCCGCGTTGGACAGGTTTCCGTTTCATACAGGTAATTAAAGAGGAATATATCAAGGGGGGGGGGGGGGGGAGGAGAGATTCCGTCAAGACAGGTTTCCGTTTTACACCGGTTTCCATTAAGGCAGGTTCGACTGTAATTCCTTTTTTAATCCCTGCCAGAGAGAGGCTCACTTATGAAGATTTGAATTTAAGTGTTCCAAATTCTTGGGGGAGGAGAATGATTACTGGCCGAAGGCTCCACTAACAAGGCTTTTGTTAATGTGATATCGCTTGCACCACCGGGAAAACGGTCATTTCATCTCACTGTCATCTCGTCACACCTGTTTTATGTGTGGCAAAATGACTTTGCTTGTCTCTCCAAGATTGTATGCTAGTAGAGTTTTGGAGGATCAGTGCCAAAAGTCTTTGTTCTAAATCACCAAATCAAGCTCATAATTGTTGGGCCATGCCCTCTTGTTTTTAAGTTATTTAAGCCTAAAACCGCCCCCCCTCCCACCTATAAAAACAAGTCAACAAAACTCACCCAGTTATGAACGGTGTAGCTGTTCAGGTAGGCATGGCAACTCTCACACGCACACCACCCAAACCCCCCCCCCCCAACAAAAAAATCGTGATTTACCTTTGCCATGACAATGCGTGTTTGATGTTAGCAAGTGTGTGACAAAATGACGGTCTCCATTCAACCTTGTGGATTTGAGATGTGACGAGATGACTGTGACGTTTTGACTGCACCGGTGTGACGAAATGGCTGGTACTCAACCACCGTTATTTGATAAAAGGCAGCCGGTATTTTCATGACATGTCATGGAAATAAAATCTTTGCGCTTTTTCATGACCTGTTGTGGAAAAAAAGCTTGGCGATGTCTTCGACAAGTCGTGAAAACGTGCCTAGCTATATTATGCCCGCTCTTACCACAGGGGTCTAGGCCTATTAGCTAAAATACAATTTTTTTCGGTAGATCTAGATCTAGTTTCCGATTTTGGACCTGTTCTACCGCCATTCCGATTAAGGTGTCAAAAATACCGGATTTGCGATGGGTGCCGAGAGTGCTTTCAACTTTCCCCTGCGAAACCCGTAGCCTCCATCCCGAAATTCTGTACTTGCTGCTTCATATGCTGCACTGTGTGTTGTTGTTTTTGTAAGAGAGAGAGGGGGAGGGGGGGCACTTGCCTTTCTAGCTTCTTGGACTGTCAGTCTAGAATCTAACCCTCAGCAGTAAGTTGCAGGCCTATTTGCACACACTTTTTTTTTTTTTAAAGTTTAAAAAAATGTGCATGTTTGTCTCAGTAGGCTTGAGTAGGCCTAGATTCTAGGTCTGGCCAATGCCAGCAATCGTTCGAACCGCCACTTAGCCAGAGTGAGAGGGGTTTCTGAAAGTAAGGCGTAAGCCTTACTAAGGTGGACTCAAGATCTAGCCTTGAATGAAAATGTCAAGCTATATAATAATATGTTTTCAACCCTCTAAATTGATGTTACAAATAAAATATACCACCAGGAAACTATAAAATCAAGACTTAATGCAGTGTCTTTGATGTGTCTCTGCTCATGCTGTCGTAGCTTCCATTGTATTTATAAATCAAGAACAGGTTGAAGTACTGCCACTCCTTTGGGTAGTGTTTCGACTCGTCTTTGATTTTCTCATTCTAGGCGGTGACTGATTTGGAGGATTTTTTTCTGAAAACATACTTTGTAGGTTACAGTAGTATAAATCCTAAATTCTTCCTCAAACTCATGATACAATTTTAAAATTTGTCCCACTTCGAAGGGATGGTGATTTGCATCCGCAATTCTTAGGGAGGGTGAGAGAGAGAGAGAAAAGCATGGCCAGGACAGAGAGTCTACTATTTATATATGTTCTGTGCAATGTACCGATTGGCGCAATCTTATGCGCTGCATGTTTTAACGATCGTATGATTGGGCGGCAATCTTAAGATTGCGCTGCGCATTTTAACTATCGTATAATTATATCATTCTCGTGAGCTCTTCAGTTTTATATTTTAATTTTAATTTTTTTATTTTAATGCTTTTGAAAATATACATGAATGTTCCTTGATGTGAGTAAAAAAAGAATAAAGATGGAAGTGAATTTTTTTATTTTTTTTTAATATAAAATAAATCACATGTACTTTGTAAACTTTGAGTTTGATGCCTGGCCTTGTATCATTCTTGTTAGCTCTTCAGTTTCAAACGTTTTTTAATTTTAATTTTCACATTTTTACACTTTTGAACATATGTGTGAATGTTCCTTAATGTGAGTAAAAGTAAAAGAATAAAGATAGAAGTGAATTGTGAATTGGGGGGGGGCTTATTTAGAAAATATAAAATATTAACGCAATCTTCTGATTGCCCCGCAATTATACTACTGTTAAGACGCGCAGCGCAATCTTATGCTGGTGAATTTGTTTGAGTTTTTTAGTGACAAGGGAGATTTGTTATAAAAAGGGGTCTCTTTTTGCCTGTATACGGTAACTTGTAACAGTGCAAGATTTTTGCTAATAATTCTGTTTGTACAAAATTGCCTAAATATTATGTATTCTTGAGATTTATAATTAAGCTTAAGTGGTGGAGTTTTGATATTGATGCTAAATTTTTGTGCTTTTTCAGTCATTTTAAATTATTTTTGCACATTTGTTTTCATATTTTGATAGAAACGAAGGATCAAGGATCTATTTTCAGAGGACATCCCTGAGGATGAGGCAAAACTCTTGTGCAATGGAAGGTATGTGTTTCAGAATGGTAAAATTGAATTTCAAGGTTTGTCCCACACTGTCTAGTCAAATCATTTCACAGGAACAGTGCGAGCCAGCCAATCCATCAACCATTGATTTCTGAGTGCTGCCAGGAGACTTGCTGTGTTCCCTTACTGTCAACAAAGTACAGTCAAACCTGCCCTGACGGCCACCTCTATAAGACGGCCACCTGTACAAATGGCCACTTTCCGTTTCCCCCCTTGCGTTTTTTCTATATAATTTAACTGTGTAAAACGGGCACCTGTCCAACGCGGCCGCGGCCACCTTATTTCAACACACAACCCCTATCACACTAAGCAATAACACCCGTCTAAGACGGCCACCTTAGTGACTCCATTTCGTTTAGTCATTAATTGTGCTTTGGCCCCTGGCGTTGTGGGCAAGCCGTCATAATTCAATCCCCTGTCGCTGTTGTTAGGTAGTCTCTCCAACCGATCATGTTGCGTAGGCCCCTCCTACTGTTGACCAATAGCTACCAATTTTCAGCTGCTGGTGAGGTAAGCGTGTGATCCCTCATAACCCATATGCCCCACCCAGAACTTAAACACAAATCGTAAGCGAGATGAGTGGTCACTGTTTACCCAGTCTGTTACAAAGTAACAAAGAACGTCAACATGAACTTGTGACAGAAACGTCACTTGTTCTCCGAGTGGTGGCGACCCAGGAGTTTGTTTTTACTTCGCACTCGGTCTTCCTTGTCTAATACATTTCGTTTTATTGTCACCCTTTTGCGAAATCAGCAACAAAATAAAAATTACAAACAAAATACAAACCACCACCACCAACAACAACAAAAACAATGCGGCTACTTTCGATTGGGACCTCTGATAGGAATAATTTGTTTTCTTCTTCTTGATCAGTCCTGCCTAAGACGGCCACCTGTCTTATACGGCCACTTTTCTTCTTGACAATGGGTGGCCGTCTTACACAGGTTTGACTGTACTACAAAACCTTTACTTAAAAAGTTAATGCTTTAACAAAAGCAACGAACAGCTTAGTAATGAACTCTCTTTTGATGAATAAATTTATCATTTTAAAAACTTGTAGGTTCACAAGAATTTATCAGTGTTACGCTTATTTTGTTAAGTTGTCACAAAATGTTTCTGATCCTGTTGTGCACTACGACACATGTGTCAAGGATTGTAATTATTTAATACCTTATTTTAGAAGACATGGGCTAGTTTTCAATCTGAAGTGATGATTACTGTACTTTTTAACCTTCTTCTATTGCTATAATTAAATGTGAGGCAAATACATTCTCAGACTTAACTACTCAACACTTTAAAATAAGCTTCCTCTCTGCTGTCTCAAAAGGCAATCAAATATAGACCTACAAACACCTCATAATTATATGACACCCAAAATATGTGTTAACCTCTATAAATTGAAAAATGCCATTGCAAAATATCTCTTGATATGTGTATTCTTAAATGATTTCCAGGTTTCTATGTCAGATAGCCTAATTGGGGGGGGGGGGGGGGGGGTGTTTGTCTTTCGCAGTATTGCGGATCAGGCCACTTTTTGACCCTGGGTCACCTACATACCGATACCTACTGGGGCTAGGGAGAGGGGATGGGGCATGGGACAGGAACAGAAGAAAGAGAAAAACTGGATGGTCTGTCATTGGACGTGCTCATGTACTATCTTCCATGCATGAAATATCAATATCATATCAGTGCTTGTACCGTAGATGATTTTGATAACACATGATTAAAGATTGCCCATCTCGACCTTATTCAGTATCTTATTCCTATTATTAGTATCAATGTCAGCTTTGCTTGTTATGTGAAATCTGAGACTGGTTGCTTTTGTGAGGCTCCTCTTCACTTTACTGGCAAAAGAAGTTAGTGGGTGGTTGGCGGGTGCTCTGGTCTGGTTTGCTCCTTCTTTCCTATCAAGCATCTATCATCCTGATTTCTCCTCCTTCTTTTTTGTGTTTGTTACTCTCTTGTAACACCTCTAATCTTCGGCACTTATATGACCTTATTGTGTTGCCAGTGCTTTAAAACTCTTACGAAAAAAAACAAGGAAAAAAAAGCTGAGTTTGATTCTCACTCTGAAAAAGTGGGGGGGGGTTTTGGTGGATTTTTTTTTTTGGGGGGGGGGGGGGTTATGATATATCCATCTTTTTGTTTGTGTCTAGTATCCCAAATAATAAGAATTTAGTACTTTTCAAATTCATGGTTTTTGTTTTGTTTTTTTGTGGCCAGAAATTGATTATTTTTTGCCTGGTTTTAATTGAATTTTGATCAGTGTGACCTATCCCTGGTTTTCACAAGCCATCACATACTTGATCATACAGTGTATATCATTCTGACATACATTGTTGTGCAATTGCTGACTTGTTTTGCTTGTTTTGTTTTACTATCTAGATTGATCTGTGTCAACTTATAAATTTGGTCCATGTGTATTTTGTTCAGAGGATTGTTGGAGGGGGCAGCTGGTAGATATTATATATATAGGTCCTTTCTCTCTCCCCCCCCCCCCCCCCACTATTATTATGTTTGTCTATCTCACTTTTTCCATTCACCAAATGGCTGTCATTGTTATTTTGTACATGTATTTGTGTTTACTCTAATAACCAAGTATTCTTACACCACATCATTTCTTAGGTTTACCTGCATGGTCTGCCCAAGTCGTCCCATCTTTGATACCGTTTGCATGCTGGGAGTTCACCGCAAAGGGAAAAAACATCTACAATGTAAGTATGGAACAGTGATGACATGTTCAGAAGCATTTAACTTTTCAACATCTCTTTCAGCTATCTAGTTTGCCATTTTTTGGAAGATTAAAAAAAAACAGCCTCTATTTACTCTATAAAAAATTGTTTGCTTTGTGTCAATCTCTTTTTAACTTTAATTAGTAAAAGTTTTACAGCATTTGCAAAACAATAAGGTCACTTAAAAGTACCAAAGATTAGAGGTGTTACAAGAGAGCAACAGACACAAAAGAGGAGAGATAAGGACAATAGACGTTTGATAGGAAAGGGGTAGCAAACCACACCTGAGCACCCGCCAAACTTCCACTTATTCTTTCTTGATATCATCGACATTTAAATCCAGACAGCACTCGGATGTCAAGTCCTTCAGGCTTTTAATTATAGTTGTTCAGCAATATTTTATACATATTTTTTGTCACTGCTGCAGCTGGACTGGTGTCTGTGGTGTAATAATTGAGCTCTGCGTTGTTGCTCACAGAAGACGTGAGTGTGTGGTTGGCGGATGCTTAGGTGTGGTTTGCTTCTTCTTTCCTATGACATCCATCATCCTTGTCTCTTTTCCTTCTTTTTTGTTTGTTACTCTCTTGTAATACCTCTAATCTTCAGCACTTAAGACCACTGTGAGTTTGAGTTCGGTTTTTGGGGGGGGGGGTTTTCAAATCATCTCTACCTGTCTGCAGGCACATTGTATCCTCTCAGCACAGGTTGGCCTTGACAGGCAGAAAGTAGCCCTCCTCCTAGATAATCCAAATTGTCATTACGGGTACGTATAATGTCTGTAAGAGTTCAAAGGGTTATGGGGTTTGTTACAGGGATCTTGATAGTTAGTGGCTGTACACAGAACTATTCATACAAAAAATGGTATCGGTTGTTTGGGACAAGTATTGGCAAAATTATAAAAATAGCTTACATGCTGGCATCTTTATTCAGACCGTTCTTCATTTTGTGACTGTTTTTTCCTTGTTGCTCTGCAGGTCAAGAAGTCCATGAGGCAAAGAAGAAAGAATTAAAACACCTGATTGCTGCGAGGAAACATGAGCAGTACCTCAAAGATGGCACCACTTCTATCAAAATGGTACAGCTGAAGATGAGCTTTTTCTGTTACGTTTCACCTTCTTAAGAAACTTAAGCTTTATATTCGTAAACTGTGTCATTATCATCAAGTGCCAGATCTGCGATCATAGTTCTTCATTATTCATTTGTTCGGACGCTCTAAAAAAACATGCATGATCCTGATCGATTTGATCTTTCCCCTATCGCCCATCTGCCCATCTGTTTAGGCTCTCCAAGTAGGTTGTTCTGGGTCTACCCCTGCCTTATTTGCCATGAATTGTGCCTGTGAGAATTATGTGGCCTTTATGTCTATTCAAGTGTCCCACTGTACGTAAGGAAAAATTTACTTTTACTTTTCAAGATGTTCTCTTTTGCTGTATATCTCCGTATGAAAAAAAAAGGCAGTCAACAATTCTACTCCAAAGGAAGAGATCAGTCCCCTGTGCATCACTGTGTCAATGTTTTGCCCATTTTCTTGAAATCTACCTCTGTCTTTCTGTGTTGTGTTGTTCTTGGTGTCCTTCTGACTCTGACCTCAGGGCCTCATCCCCTCAGTGCAGAGATGCCAACCACAGAAAACCGAAATGAGTATTGGGAAACATGAAAATGTGTATTTTCAGGGGTAAATGTGTATTCCCCACGACCGACCGACTAACCAGTAATAGTAAAATGTTCAGGGTGTCCAGCAATATTTCTTGAAAATAAATTACTAGCTCACCAGCTCGAAAAAGGGAGCACACACGCGTACAATATACATGTATCCATTCAACAACATGTCAGTGTTCAATGTCGTACTGGGGTCTTGTTTGACTTAAGTATTTCAGTCTATTTTCCTCTCATTATTATATAAAAAATAAATCCTGCTTTGAGAGTTCGGAAGGGCCTAGAACAAGAACTTCGACTATCAAGAACCAGTCAGGGTGTCATGATTCATATTATGAACTGACAGAATCAAATTATTGCTCAAACTCAGAGAAAAGCAATAACTTGAATGGCTCAAGTAGACCCATGCACCGTGAGAGTTGTAACAACTGTGGTAGGGCAAGATGCAGTGACACTGAAAATCTGCCAGTCTTGAACAGAAAGCTACAACATACACTGTCGGTATAATTTACTATCACCCATCCAATGAAACGCGCACACTGTATTTCAATAACACAGACTTGCAAAGTATGAGGGGTCCCGATTCCGCACACGGCCTGTACCAACGCTCACTTTGCACAAAACTAATCAAAGTTCTGAAATGTGCTTCCAAGTTTTTGTCCTCTGGTGTTGCCTTAACACCCCCCCCCCCCCCCTCCAATAGTATCTTAAACCCCCCAAAAATCAATAATCTCCTCCTCTATGCCGTAGTCATATACTTCGCAGCGCCGTTACTCCCACCAAAGACGGTCTTTGCTCACCCGATGCCGTTATTTATGATGCGAACGCGCGCAGGTTCAGTGACCGGTCACGACGGCGAGCCTGACAATCTAAAAATCGGACGACGCTTGTATTTTCTTTTCTTTTTTTTCCCCTCAAGTGACAGCACAGCGACGAGTCCGAGTATTTCTTACATTTAATTTGCACGGTGACATTGCGTTTATACTGTACAACCTGCATGCCACAAATGTTGCGTTATCAGACAAATGCTGGCAAACTTCTCCGTGGTAACGAAAGCGAAAGTAGATCTTGATTTTCCCGATCGAGCCTCGGTGTCACATACGCTTCCGCCTGCCGCCATAGCTGCCTATTCGCGTGAAAGTGAAACGTACTCTCCGGACGGGGAAAAGCTGAACGAATATACGATCGCGACCGGCAAAATTTAACTTACTGACCACATCGGACTTGATTTTCAAATACTCCAGTTCTGCGATGCTGATACTATTTTGACAAAAGATGGGACTTGAGATAATTAGGTTTACCCGCCCAAGCTGAATCTCGTATTTTTTCGCATTCCAGGATGCATATTTTTTCATGAAAAGTCGCATTCGCGTATTTTCGGCCAAAAATCGTACTAAAATACGTAAAATTGTACTGGTTGGCATCTCTGTCAGTGTCTTTCTGGTTCAGGTATAGGCCTACATGTACTGAGGTGTTTCCTTTACTTTGTGTGAATTCATCAAGTGATATGTTTCTTTACTCTTTGTTTCACTGTTGTTTCTATCTGTTATACTTTTCCTTACATTAGATGACCATAATGTGTTGATGGGTAAAAGTTTCTGCCAATGCATACTTTATGGCAACTGATGTATTGTGTGCCTTTTGTCAACCAACATCAGATTCCACAAATATCAGCAGACTCATGCCTATGTGAGCTGCCTTTTATTAATTCCCCCAAACAAAACAGTACTATTTAGTCTCATCTTTGAATTTTCATCCTTCCAGGCTGCTTCCACTGGTGGTGGTTTCTCCAAATCTGCACCTTATGATCCACGAGTTCGAAAGAAGTATGTCAAACACGGAGAAAGAAAGCCACGAGTCGACCTATCAGAGTTGGATGTATCCGACACACAACAGTCGTGTATATCTCACAGAATGGCGGACAGACAGACAAGAGACACATCAACGTGGAGGGATTTGTGCCAGCAGCAGGCAGAAGGACCCGTGCAGCATGACAAACAGCTAAAGAATATTTTCAAACAAAAAATATCAGACCCTGTGAGGGTGACTCCGTATCAGTCAATGAGTGGCCGAAGTAAGTCTCGGTCTGGTCATCACCGTCTGGGCGAAAGCTCAACGGGTACTCTGCCCCCACAAAGCAGTATGTGTCCTGTCAATCAATATGCATCGGGCTACTCCGACTCAAACTTCAACTCACCTGTAGCCCCATATCACTCGGAACCTCTGATGGCTCAAAATCGTCTGACTATGTTGTCTTGTTCGTCAGTCAGTGCCACGCTGTATCAAGCGCAGAACTATGCGACAATTCCGTTGGAGCAGTTCACATCCACACCTAACGCTTCAGGCACGTCAGACTTGACCTCTTGGTCAGTACAATCACCTGCAGAGACTACTCGTGTTGGCACCACTGGTCAGGGTCAGCGTGGAGACTCAAACTTGAATGGCAAAGCATCAACCACGTCCACCTCAGCACGGTTACAGGCACAAGGCAGTCACAACCCAGGGAGTGGGAGTGGCCCTCAACCGCCAGCTAACAGGGAATTGGTAGAGAAATACAGGCTGCTACAGGGGTAGGTTATCTTTAAATTTATCTTTAACTCACTTCAGACGGGTCACACAACAGTTGCGTGACCCCCGACGCGACGCTCGCGACGGGTCTCACAAGCCCTGCGTGACCAACTTTGGAATTTTTTTTTCACTCTACAAATCACGCACGGATCGCGAGACCCGCCTCGTACCCTTGTTTGGCCAAGCCTGAGCTACTTAGACTTCGTTTCGTATCTCTGGGGCCGGTAGTTTTTAAGTTATTGAAGGTGAAGGACAGTGACCCCAACTGGGGTTGAACAGACCGGAACTCGCGCTTTGTTTTTTTCTATACAGCTGATAGTAATCCGACAGTCGCGTCGTAGTAACGGTCGAAGAAATCGCATGAACAAGAATCACATAATTTCGCCGTTTTCTATACTTCTGTGCGTTTTACTAGTTCTAGTGTCTCAGAATATGATGTGTCTAATAGTTAGGATCCTGGATATGTACCCGAACACAGCCCGAGTCGTAGTTCTAGGGCTAGATCTAGCACTAGTACCGGTGTTGTTTTTCGCGCAACGAAATCACAACGTCGTGCCGTACATCTGTCTCATGTAATTCAGTGTATGGGTCTGAATCAATGCACAGACCAGCTTTTATATTTTTACCAAACACTCGCACATGTATACAAATCAAACCAGAACACTTTGAACTTTTATTTTTGTTGTTGCAGTGAATTTCATTCTACTTGTCACGTCTCTGGAAATTTTTCGGAAAATCAAATTCATGCCAATTTTAAAAAATTCATACAAATTAAAGTATTAGACTTACACAACTTTAGTATTTTTGTATTAGATTAAGCTTGAATGTTACTTTGCTGTGTCAAAAAATGATTACAATAGGGTAATTCTGAGAGTTGTGGTGATTTATTGAAATACCCCCAAAAACGCCAGTCTTCAACGCTTGTGACTGGTGAAAGGGCCCAGTCGCAAGTGAGTTAGTTATGTAGGTATTGTTATGCCTCCATTGAGACAATTATTTGTAATAGGCCATTTACTGGGGTGCAGGCTTGGATCCTGCCTGTAGTGCCTGTCAAGGCCAGCACATGCTGAGACAGATACGACATCGTAGTCCTGGTAGAAAAACCTCAGAAACTCGATAAAGATTTTGATATCAAACTTTGGTCTCCCGCATCCGTTGGCGAAGTGTCTAACTGCTACACCAGACACCGGTATGTTATCTATGAATGTTACTGTTGTTACATGGACAGTGCTGTTCTTGAAGATTTTGGGTTAAACTTAAAGGGAGTGCATCTTGTCAAATTTGAGAACAAACTGGCATTGTTTCAGTGGTTCTACTAGTTCCAGCAAGCCCATACCATGTCTCTTATCTCTAGTAGGCCCATTCTGATGACAAAAGCAAGACTAAATCGAATAGAATATAGAAACTTGACCTCTTCGTATATCCAACACAGGATGGTTGCACAGGTTCATAAAGAGATTCAGGGGGGCTCTCGTGGCCTAGAGGTCTCATTCAAAGGTCCCGGATTCAAATCCGGGTAGCAACGGAAACATTTTTTTTTCTCTAAAATATTGTCTCCTTTCGCCTCCTTTCCTGCTCTCTAGCCATATTCTATCGTCTGCTTTCATCGCCACTTTCTGTCCCCACCCCTAACCTCCTTTGCCCCCTCCTCTGGGCTCCTGACTCTTTTTGCAGCCTTTCCATTGCTTTTCCTTGGCTCCTTCTTACTGCTGTCTTTCAGCCACACCCCTGATCTTCTGGTAGGAAAGATCTACACCTAGCCTTCTCGGACAAGGGCGAAAAATCTCTGAGGTCCCGTGTGCAAGTTGCGCACATTAAAGATACCTAGGTGGTCCAAAATCGATAAAAGTAGGCTTCAGCCGCCACCTGGTCAAAATTCTAAATTTCCTACCAACTGAAAATGTTAGGTGTGTCCCGCGCGCTCATATGACCTTATGCAGTTGCAAGCGGCGTAAAACACTTTTTTAAAAACCCAAGAGAATCGACTTAATCACTCCAAAAGCTGTGTGCAGCTATCTGCAACAATAAATCCTTTACAGTGATTCATTTTCCGACCATTGTACCATTACAGTAGTTACTTCCGTTAAAGTGTGAGTGGGAAGTGGTCATTTGTACTGGTGGCCGTCCGTTACAGCTGGTTCGCCTGCACTTTACTACGATATTAGTTTTGTTATGTCAAAGTCTTCACAAAGCTTATCATCATGCTACACACAGTTGAGCTTTAGATATACCAGGATCATCTGATGCTCATGCAGGCATACCAATACCATTGTGGTATTGAAGGTTGGATTCGATGCTACTGTTCTCAAGTCCGCCTTGACTTACCTTACATTTACATTGCAGTTATTAGTAAATCTTTTCTAGCCCTGAACCTCCATAAAAACATAAATGCAGTAGCCATTGTAGGCCTATCCATTCTAAATAATGTAAGGATGCAACCTGCTATTCATTTATTAAATTGTAAAATGGAGTCAGTGTATTGTAAGGTTCAGTGCAAACTTGATAAAGGGTCTCAGAAAGACCATTTTTAAATCTATTGATGTTGATGATCGTGTTGAAAAGGAATCGTGAAAGTGAAACATCTGTGTATTGTGTGCTTAATTGGTTTGACACTGCCTACTATTCTTATATAATAAGAATCCTCTTGTATACAGGTATATATTAATGAATTAATAATAATAGATAGCATTTGTATAGCGCATATCCCCGCTCAGCAGCAGGCTCTATGCGCTTTACACTATATTATTACCCCAGCAGACCATAGAACACTCCGAAACATTCTCAGCTTCCCGGGAAGCTTTAATGGTAAATAAATCATTTAATATCTTGTCTTGTATTTTTATCAAGCTCACCATCAACATTTTTAAAAATAAATTTTTAATCGGGTCTTAGGACTGAAAATGCTTTTCTTGAGTTGCCCATTTTGTGACTAGTGTCAATGCTGTAATTGTAAGTTTTGTTGAAAAGGTATTTAATCTGGTTTTTCTCTTCATCTCAAGAGTTTACACCTGGTGACAACTCCCTGTTGTATTTTTCTGCAGCTCTGGTTGGAAACGAGACTGGGATGGAAAATGGATCAAAGATGAGAATGCTGAGTTTGACTCTGATGAAGAGCCTCCAGATGTGCCATAGGGGGAAAATACAGAAGTGTTTTTTTCTTTTCTAATAAAACTATGAAAACCCAGAAACTATACAGTTTTCTTTGCTTTTTTTTTCTCCAAGGTCCCAGGGTACTGCGTTCCTCCTGCTCCTGTTACCTGATGGGTTTTTTTTTTTTGGTTTTTTTTTCTTCTCAGACACTTTACCTTTCTCCACATTCAGACATGTGCGTGGATGGTTGGCAGGTGCTCTGGTGTGATTTGCTCCTCCTTTTTGTGTTTGTTACTAGTTACTCCTTGTAACACCTAATCTTCAGGACTTATAATATAAAAATATGACCTAATTGTGTTGAAAGTGCCATAAAACTTACTTTAAAAAAAGATATTGTACATCGAACCCTCCTGTTGCCCCGACAGAACCAGTGGTATGAAAACCCAAGCAATCTACTTTTTTTTTAGTAGAGGTTTTACGGCGCTCTCAACTGCATAAGGTCATATGAGCACCAAGTAGTGTATGTCAACAGAGAAGTCCTTACAGGGAATCAGACTTACTCTGCTCACATCTTTAGCTTCAACAGAACAAAGTCTGCTTCGACTATCAAGGCACCCCGGACGTTGCGGATCACAAGAGTGTGACAAACATACAAAAGAAGTAGAGGAAAAATGACGATAGAAAGGATTAGTTATGACGTTAGTAAGGATTAGGAAAGAAAAAGCAGCAGTTCCTTGTTGCAGTTTAGGCACAGTTGTGATGAGCGTGACATTGATGAATCAGCCCATTTACAATTACAATTCTGCTGCGCATAAGAACTCAAGATGTTAATTGCCCCCCGCCCCCCGGAATGGCCTAAAGACACTTCAGCACGGATTGTGTCTGGACAAATCAGTCACGTAAGACAAGACACTTTTCTTCCATAAGAACTTCCGACTATGAAAATTTCACATGACTCATGGTAATGAAAATGTAGAAAGATCCTGCCGACCACAAGTACTCAAAATACCACATTGTACACAACAAAAGACCAAAAAAATGACACTACTACTGCATAAAATTGGTACAATTTTATTCCATAAAAACATAAGAACAGCTCATTCCAAAGAACAATTCCACATGTGTGCAAAGCCGTGGGAACAGCAGGGGGTGCAATGTCCGATCATGCCGTCTCTTACTCACAATAACAGAAGAAAACGAGGAAACAAACTTCTACAAAGGCATCATACAACTCTATTGATTTTGTATGTTGACATTACACTTGAGAGGAGCCAGGCCTACAACCATTCCTCTATAAGAGGCTAAGAAAAATAAGACATTACTTTCCTGAATATCGACAGCACCACACTCGCTTCTATTTTTTTTGTCACAAAAGATCTGGGGGGAGAGAGCCTCAATAGCAGTGAATAGTTTCGTAGACCTATCTAAAAAGTTATTTCAGAGACAGAGCTTCATGTCTGCCAACAGGAAATTGAGCTGGGTGGAAATCTCTCAAGGAAGGGTGAGAACATTTTAAAGAACCACAGAGGGATGGCCGTTGAAGTTTGGAACATACAAATAACCGAAGCTTTTCATCTTCATAGCCTGACTAAATCTCCCTGGTAGAGAGCTTGATGTGCTCCAATCAACAGTAAGGTTAGACTGTATGAAAACATGGTCAAACAAAATGTCTAGCCCTGCAGATTAATACAGATGTAGGATGCCTTTGATAATCATACTGCTACACATCTTCCCGCAATCACACCACACACAAACACTTGCACCACTCACACCACACGCACTCGGCACGATCAGACGGGAGTGCAAGGCTGCCCACAGCCCATGCGGATGTTGTTGCACAAAATCATTTGGCATTACCTGTAGTAAGGTGGACATGAAACATAACAGGAGCATCATGTCCCGACTTCAGCTCTCTGAGAGTCGGTGAGAGCGTAAATGATACACCTGAAACAATCAAACCAACACACCTTTACTGGGATTCTGCCTGTGGGTGGTATGAGTAGAGATGATGGTAATGAAGGACATGATCACAAAAAAAGATTTGATGTTTAACACAGGACACATACAAAAGAACACAAGTATAGCAGCGAACCAGCACATGATACAACCTTTTCTAATCAAACACTCTTTACATACAAGATGGTGGTCCAGACTACAGAAGAATGTGTTTAATTTAGATGAGAATCCCATCCACACAATGCCTCGTTGGAAAAAGCATAAACAGTAACGGACAGAAAAGATTAGGTTGGAGTAAAGATACACATATCGACAAAACAACCATTTAGTGTTCAGAGAGGAGCAGACAAATAAAACAGAATTGGTACAGAAACAGAACCCTTCAACCATCCACAGAAAAACTGAGAAATAGTCGTGACCCTCTCCAACAAACCACTATATAAGAGCACTGTGAATCAACAATGACAATCACAATATGGCGACGGAGTTTTAGTTAAATTGAAATCCTTTTTTCAGATCCCCCATAATGGATAATTTACTCAACTGGGCACTCCTGGTGTCAGTTTACAGCACAAGAACCAACACCACAGAGTAGAGGAACTAAAGATAAAGAAATATTTATTGGGATCAATTTGCTCAAAGTTATAGATCCAAAACAGTAAAACCACCACAGAAATGACAGATGTATTTAACCTTTTATCAGTTTACATGGATGAGTGAAGATTTACCATGTTTATTTCTTGGCAAAAGTAATTTTCATTGCATTTGTGGGTGTAATCTTGAAGCTCTGTAGGGCATCTTTAGCTGCTCCGGCCTGTACATCTGTCTCAAACTCCACAAAGGCGATGTCGTGTCGGCCTGGCACCAAACGCACCTCTTTGAACCCAGGGAACCTTCACAAGAAGAAAAAAAAATATTCATGAAGCATTTTCCAAAATACAGAAACCCTAAAAAATCAACACAATATTTTCGAAACTTGAGCCACATCCTAGACTCTCTACACAAAGTATCGACATTGCGAAGAAGTAAGAATTAAAATAAGCTAAGCTGACTAAATCTATTGCAGTTACCACTCCTGTACTAGTTACGAGCATCTTTAATTGTTTCATGTAAAAGGAATATTACACAAGTGGATGCAGACAGACAAAAAGTCAAAGAAACATCAACAAAAAGGTTAAAGCAAAAAAAACGGGCAAAGAAAAGTAAGCAATGTAAATATAGCTTAACTCACTTCAGACGGGTCACACAACAGTTGTGTGACCCCCGCCGCGACGCTCGCGACGGGTCTCACAAGCCCTGCGTGACGAACTTGGGAATTTTTTTTCCGCTCTACAAATCACGCACGGATCGCGAGACCCACCTCGTACCCTTGTTTGGCCAAGCCTGAGCTACTTAGACTTCGTTTCGTATCTCTGGGGTCGGTAGTTTTTAAGTTATTGCAGGTGAAGGACAGTGACCCCAACTGGGGTTGAACAGACCGGAACTCGCGCTTTGTTTTTTTCTATACAGCTGATAGTAATCCGACAGTCGCGTCGTAGTAACGGTCGAAGAAGTCGCATGAACAAGAATCACATAATTTCGCCGTTTTCTATACTTCTGTGCGTTTTACTAGTTCTAGTGTCTCAGAATATGATGTGTCTGATAGTTAGGATCCTGGATATGTACCCGAACACGGCCCGAGTCGTAGTTCTAGGGCTAGATCTAGCACTAGTACCGGTGTTGTTTTTCGCGCAACGAAATCACAACGTCGTGCCGTACATCTGTCTCATGTAATTCAGTGTATTGGTCTGAATCAATGCACAGACCAGCTTTTATATTTTCACCAAACACTCGCACATGTATACAAATCAAACCAGAACACTTTGAACTTTTATTTTTGTTGTTGTAGTGAATTTCATTCTACTTGTCACATCTCTGGAAATTTTTCGGAAAATCAAATTCATGCCAATTTTTAAAAAATCATACAAATTAAAGAACTAGACTTAGATAACTTTAGTTTTTTGTATTAGATTAAGCTTGACTGTTACTTTACTGTGTCAAAAAATAATTACAATAGGGTAATTCTGAGAGTTGTGGTGATTTATTGAAATACCCCCAAAAACGCCAGTCTTCAACGCTTGTGACTGGTGAAAGGGCCCAGTCGCAAGTGAGTTAAGCATCTATATTGAGGGGTAAACATCTGTAAACCTTGTAAATCTTTTTGTTCAATAATTAACCAAAACATTTTGCGTTTGAGTGCGAAGACAAATAGTCAGAGCTAGAAACAGTGTGCTTTTAATTTTTAGTTTTAGTAAGAGATTTACAGCACATGTAACACAATAAAGTCATATAAAATTATAAGTGCCGAAGATTAGAGGTGTTACAAGGGAGTAACAAACACAAAATAGAAGGAGGGGAGATAAGGATGATAGATGTTTGAAAGAAAAGGAGCAAACCACACCAGAGCACCTGCCAACCAACCACAATGAGGAACATTCACCCTTTTTGTGAAGAGGCTCAACAAAAACAGTAGACTTCTAACACTTCAAAAAAGAGCAACACAATCAAGATATAACCCTCTATGAAGAAATTGTTAGCAGGGACACTAATCACAACACATTGTCCCACCAGTACTGGCCGGGAAAAAGGAAGGTAAACTGGCTTCACATAGGCAAATACAATTTCTTTGAGCTATGTTGTGTTGTCCATCAACACTGGCAAATAAGTGCAGCCAAAACAAAAAGGAGAGGTACTCTCAATAGAAAAAAATTAGAGACAAGTCTTCCTTATGCCCTCATCATCATTTACAGAGGGGCTTTTTTTGTTACTAAAGATCTAACTATTATTCCCCTCCACATTTAGTTAAAGGTTTTAAAACAATAAGGTCACAACACAGTTGATGTCATTTTTGTTTTGTTCTGAGAAAATCTAAAAAAAAACACCAATACTTACACAAAACAACCCCAGGAATAATGAACATGTCCCTGTAACCCACAACTTAATACATCAAACAAAACCCTGTTATATTAAACAAGTAATGAACACTTTCACCGCACCAAGAACTAAAAACCTGAGAGAAAATAAAAAATTGAGGCAAATAGTGTTATGACGGTAAGAAAAAGGCATTGCGTCAACGTACTGATTGAACAACATGGACAACATCATCTCGTTGGTCTCTTCGGGCAGGTTGGTGATGAACAGGATCTGGTTGGGTGGCTGTTCGGGGATGGCGCTCACAGCAGGCGGGGCTGCCACTGGGGCGGGCATACCCACGGGAGCAACAGGGACGGGAGGGTTCAGCTGTGGGGGTGCTGGAATGGGGGAAAATGGGACAAGAGGTTAAATAGATGTACTGCAGCAAAACTTGCGTTTATCACTACATAGCATTGGATCATTGGACAGAAGGGCGAGAGCCCAGCTGTTGCTGGATCGATAACAACAACAACATAGACATAAAATAAATAAACAGTCGAACCTGTGAGAAACTACCCAATATCCGAGGAGAAAAACAGTCGCCATAGACAGTTAAGTCATTTTGGATAGCGCAATTAAAATACATTAAAAAAACACAAGAGGAGAAGTGTTTTTCTTGACAAGCGGCCATTAGACCAAGTTTAACAGTTCATAAAAAAGGCAGCCATCATTATCACCCCTTATGCACATACCTGTGTTCCAAAAATGACTCTTATTGGTCTATATTTTTACTTTGACTAGCAGCTATTGTCAAATAACAAGCAAAATAAAAAAGGAAGTGAAATTAACCAATTTAAACACCAAATATATAAAAACTGACAACAACTAATACAAAGGCCTCTCTACTGAACAGTCTCCTCTGACCAGAGCTGAATGTGAAATTAAAAAGTCCCACCTCCTAAAAACATTACTACGTAGAAGCTTCACACAGACAGAGGAGAGTAGGTCTAAAACTGAACATTATGCCATACCTAACGTACAGGTTTATAAAAAATAATATTGAGCAAAATCCTGTGAGTAATACAGTTCAGTCCATTTATAACAGCCTATTATTACAGGAACTTGGATATATAACAGTGATAAATTAAATCCCCATTTATTTTTTTTTCTCAATAAGTAGGTACCACAAACCCCCGCCTCTGCGCAGTTGAAAGCGTGTAGGAAGCTAGAAATTTGGTCATTTTTAATCAACCATAACTCTTCTAATTTGACACCAATCTTCACCCCGTTTCGAACTAAGTCAGTTCAACTATTGTTTTTAGCTAAAATCAAACTATTGAGGACGGCAAGGAACGAGATATTGTATAGTAAGCTATCTAAAAGGGTCACCGAAATGCACGGGAATGCGTTTTTCGCGTCATTTTTCATGCCGGCCACGGCGACAAAAATTTAGGGTGCCTCATAAAAAGCCTTCGCGCTACGCGGCTATAACTGCTATCGTCATGAAACAAAAAGTGCAAGAACGAGCTTTGAATAAGCTTTCACCCGGTACCAAGCGCTTGTTGCTAAAGTTAATTGTTGACCCAGAAATATCGGGAGTTTTGGAACCTATTTTTAGAATGGAAATCTCCAAGTCTGACCAATGATTGGTAGAAAGAACCCTGGTCTACTCAATAGTAGAACATGTCAAGGGAATCGTGTGCAAAAATGACTACGATTGGTCTGGCAGCCGTTTAGCGCCGCTTGTTTTTGTAAACACACATGCTGGTCCCATCTCTGGCGACGCGCTTGATTCAGCAATGGCGAAGAATTCTTTACGTGCACTACTACATATTTTCGATTACGCTCTATTCACGTACATAAGTGCATATTAAGGGCTGCATTGTGCTTCCAATCATGGATAGGGATATTCAGGAGATGTGTGGTAAGTTGATTTTGTTAATTAGATTGTTATAGTGTTACATAGTTCTTCATAAAGTCATCAACCTTTGCCTGACCTAGATCTAGCTAGGGCTTGAAGCCGAGATCGCAAACATGCGAACGGGTGGTCTCATTCAGAGCGCCCTGTAATTAATTCAGTACCCAGTATTGTTGTAAATCTGGTTTGGATAGAAAGATAAGAAGCTTAAATTTCTTGAAAATATGGTGAAATCTAAATCAATTTGTTTTTAGTCATTAAAATTGGTGGTTTTTTTCTGGTCACGTGACCATTTCATTCTATCGATGATTCCGTAATGGTGACCTCTTTTTAAAGATCATAGCAAGCTTGATGAATTCGTCTGTGAAGGGGGTGCAGCTGGCATTTGTTCATTGATGAATGAATATATTCTCTTGAATATCGTGAATATCTGACAAAGTCTTTGATAACTAATTCATTTAATTGTTTTCTTTTAGCCAATATATCTATTTTAGTAGTAGTAGTATAAGGTTTTACGGCGCTCGCAACTGCTAAGGTCATATGAGCGCGCGAAACACAAGTTGTTCGCCTCTGCGAAAGTTCACTTCACGACTGGTAACTAATTTACTTTAAAATGCTAAAAAGTTAAAATATTCAAATTCGGTGTAAATACATTTGTGATCTAAAACAACTTTTAAGTAACAATAAAAATTTTAAATAATATCAGATTCACTTTACAACTCGCCATAAAGGCCAATGGCCTTTATAAAATTTTAAATTCTGCTGGGAACAACGACGGAGAAAATATCCTGCAATTTCTTGCATTTATAATATTTCCTTCGGATCTCTCCAAAGTCTAGACATTCTGTTAAAATGTGTCTAATGGTAAAATCTGTGTCGCATCCGACACAGAACGGCTTCTCCTCTCCCCGTAGGAGGTATTTGTGGGTCAGGGCCGTGTGTCCGATGCGCAATCGAGTAAAAATGACTTCGTCTCTTCTGGAGAGATCCGAAGGATTTCGCTGTTCTAGTCTGGGTTTAATTTCATATAATTTATTATTTTTCTGGTTTTCCCAGTGGCTCTCCCACAGACTGGATATATCTATTTAGACTCATGAAACAAGTACCGACACCAATTGAATTATTTTTTTATACAACTGTCAGAGGCTGGTTTACTGCTGAAAATGGACTCTCCTACTCGAGAGCTTCATTCATAATAATTCGTGATTATCAAATAAGTCGGTACCTTTAGAATTGCTAGATCTATTCCTGAATAGACCCAATTTTTTTAGAGTAATGAGCCATGGGGAATTTGAACTTTGTTGCAGATCTAACTTGTGTCTCCTCCACCCTCTCCCCAATTGTCCTGGCCTTGGTTTGATTTGAAAATGGGCTCTGCCCATGCGGGAGCTTCTGCACAATTTTTTTATTTTTGGAAAAAAATAATCGTCTTGAAACGAAAATGGGCTCTGCCCGGGCGGGAGCTTCTGCCCGATTTTTTTTATTTTTGAAAAAAATTGTTTGGAGATTCTTTCCAATTAAAAAAAAGTAATTAGAACTGAGGAGTTTTTGTGTGTGTTTGTGTATCTGATCTGTCATTGTTGAATATTTACTTTATTAATGCCGCATTTTATCTCAGATTTGATTGCAGAAATGGATTCCTGGCCCAAAACCACATAGGAATGGAGCTTTTGGGCGTCTTTCTTGTTGTTCTATAGAAGTTATAGATGATTTTGTTGAAATTATGCCGAATAATTTCTTATTTTTTCTTTTATCTAACCTCGTATCATTGTAATGCTTCATGTTATCACAGAAATGATAACAGAAATGGATTCCTGGTCCAAAAGTACATTGGCATGGAAAGTTTCAGACATTTACCATGATTTTAGGTGATTTTATTCTGAAAAGTGTTTAAGCCATGTGTACCGTGATGTGATTTTCTGTTTATAACGCACAATTGGCAGTTTTCCCGTTTTTGTGGTTCCATAACTGATTAAATTGAAGTGCCAGAACTCTGAAAAAAATTGGGCAAAAATGTTCTGTAAGTTTCATTTCTTTTCAGCAATAACTTTCTATTTTATTGATATCTGAAATCAGTCTTTTTAGCATTTTTGAATTAACATTATGCATCAAGGAGTAATTTTTTTCCAATTTCAAGTCTCTGTATTGGCTTAATTTAAACTCTGATTGTCCTCATCTTGGTATTTTGCATAATTTATACTGGCACCTGTTGAAACAAATGATAATACACACTTTATGTACCTGAATATATTTTCTGTGAACTCACAAAATCGCACTTTTTAACGTGATTTTAAAGTTGCCAAAAATTTACGACGTCCACAAATTTCAAACGCCTGTCATTTTTTTATTTATTGTCCGATTTCTATAATTCAAACACCAAAGTTCATGGTTTGCATAGTTCTTTATGATGCAACAAACAGAAGTTTGATCAAAGCACTTTGAAATTTGGGTTTGTGGTACCTACAATAAGTGTAAATAATAATATGAACCTGGCTATAACAGGTTTCAATTTGCGCAGACTTGGAATATAACAATGATCTTGTAGCACAGGAACTAACTTTCGATCTGTCAAATTATCAACATTTGTTTCAAGCTGTTTGTATAATCGCTTGCCTAAACACAAACTTTCAACCCCCCCCCTGGTCACTGATTGATCCTGTCTCAGTGTGTCAGCAAAACAGCCCACTGGAAAAGGACCTGCGGTACTCGAATATATACAGTAAGCTGAAGGTGCAATGATACTGGTAGTTTCCCTTGATAACGGTTATATTAAAACAGGACTCTCTTATAACAGGGAAAAACTGCAGGTCTCGTCTGTCCTGTTATATTCGAGTTTGACTGTACATCTGATACCAAAAAAAACAACAGTGTAACTTACGTCTGGCTGCAATCTGAGGAGGAGGTCCCTGTGACACTGGTGCTTGGTTTTGTTCCACATTTGCTTGAGCCCTGAGTAAAATATATTTGAAAATTAAATTGAAAAAAGGTCATAGACTATGTGTGAGATAAACAAATGGAATGGAAGCTACATGAATAGATAAAAATGAAAGAAGTCGGATCTGGTAACAGAAACCACAAGTGACTTCTGAGCCTCGGGAGCGAAAAAAAAAAGGTTAAACAGTCAAAGACAAAGTAAATAGACCAATAAAAAAGACCTACACAGACATAGATCTAAACCATATTATACAAATTAACTAATGGCAGAAACAACATATTATTACTTCAAAATTCAACAGTATCTTACTTGGATCGTTTCTTCCTCTTGCCACCCTCATCCTCGTGTTTGTCTCTGCTGCGTTTGGGTTGCTCCACATACGTCCCCTTCATCTTGGCGATGACTTCTGAATCTTTCTTTGAAAATTGTATTCTCTGGAGAAAAAAAATAAGAGTAAAGAATTAAAACTCATATTTTCATTCCATCAAAGAACTCAAACAAATACTTTCATCTCATTGAACCCCACACTCTCAGTAAAAGTACAATGGGGAAAGCAGAAAATTTAAAGACAGGAACTTGTTTATGAAGTAAACAGTTCCTAAAAGAAAGCGCGCAGAGCAAACTTCGAGGAGATATTTATTAAGCTTTCACCACAAGTCTATTGCTTATTACTGCATCAATTACACACAATGAAAATGTTTCGTTTTGAAACAGATTTCACACCAGTCACCATTCACAAACTTCAGAAGCTGTAAAACATACATACCGTATTAAAAACTTGTAACGTCTTTTAAACGGCAAGAGCAAGCAATATAACTCAAAATGCAAATAAATCGACAGAAGACCAAAAAAGTGGCTATGGCTGTTGACAGTTCAGGATATAAAGTGAAAAGCCAGGTCAAAAAAAAAGAAAAAGAAAAGTGATACTGCGAAAGAGAGAGAGACACAGAAAGCATGAAAGAGATGAATCAACAAAGGAGCTAATGAGTCTACCTACCATAGGTTTATCATAAAATGGAAAGCCTTGCATAGACCGCAAAGCATTGGCAGCACTGTTGATTTCCTTGAAGATGACAAAGGCTTGACCCCGCATTTTGAACGTTTTTAAGGCAACAATGTCCAGGATTTGTCCAAACTGTGAGAAAATTGCGTACAAGGACTTCTTGAGCTCTGTAGGGGGAAAAAAATCCAAAGAATAAACAGACACATAAAAACAATTTATGAGCAAAACGGGGAAGACACAGCAATTATTGTATTCATACAAAGCACTCGCAAAACTATGCATTGTTCCCTTAAAGAGAGAAATTAAACCATATTTTCCCTTGAAGAAAAAAAAAACCGTCCACATAAATCACCAGATTTCAGAAACACACCCTATCTAAAGCAAGTCAGTTTGTCAGTAAATGTTAATTATGCTTGAAAATATGAAGCACACTTGTCAATTGTGGTTATTTTGCATAGAAAACGACTCAAGAGTCATGAAATTGTTGTTGCCTAGCAACTTGCATTTAATTTTAACATGTTTGCGGAACCGTCCTTGACAATAAACAGCAAATTCTTGAAATTGTCTCTTTATTTTATTATCTTTCCTTTAAAAACAAATAAGACCTCAGATTTTTAAAACTTACCATCTTTCTTTATCTTCTCATTTAAATTGTTGATGTAAATTGTGTGATTGGGATGCACAGCCATCTCTGTCGTCTTCCCTCCGAACCTGAAGAAATATCAGAAAGATAATCAATTAGAAAAAATGAGAAAAGCAGCATGTCTTACTAATGAATACTAATTTACATCTACAGACATCTATTATATATTTGGCAACTTGGAAAAACGTTTGTCACTTTTCCCATAAACCTACGACAGCTGCAGAGTTGAAAGTTGGCAAGTACCTGCAAAAAGATAGATAGGTCCCCATGACGGAGCCCGTTTTTTTATTTACAAATTTCCTGAATTAAGAAAAATATATTTTACAAAAAGTTCCCGTCCTTCTTTGGCCTTTGTGATTATTTCACTGAGAAACGAAACATCTGCGTAGCTGCCCTTCACAACGGAAGTGCAGGAAGAGACATATTTCATGAGGCGCATTTTGTTCTGAGAGTATAGATCTAGACCTAACTTTTTTGCATCTCTCAAGATTTATTACTCCACTCCAGTGGAGTGTAAATACAGTAGGCCAAAGACTTTCAGTTGATGTTAATGCACCGATCATTCCTTTCATCGAAAGGGGGCCAAGCTAGTCTTTTTTAATAAATTACAATCTCAGTAATTCTCGTTCCATAAATTTACCTTCTCCTCAAAGTTGTACACACACACAAGCGCACACACACAGCCCAAGCAGTCGGTCATGGAACCTAGTGACGTAGCCCATCGCACGCTAAAACGGGGTGCCCATTACCATGTGATCTAGTCAACTGGCGAGGGAAGCCCCGGAAGACGACAAAAATAGAAGGCGGAAATACGTCATCTATATTTGGGCCAATCACAGGTGTGCTAGGTGCTCGCTGTAGCTTCGTGTAAATTGAACACTGCCTCAAGTTCTTACTTTTATATTTATATTATATTATATTATAGGGACCCATGGACGTCATGGGGACCCATTTATATGAGATTGACGCCGTTTGATTAGATATCTAGTAGAAAAAAAGTGCATATGATAGTGTGTCAATAGTGGCGTAGGTGGCCTAGTGGTTAGGCACTCGGACTCGCAACCGTAAGGTCGTGGGTTCGAATCCCGTCAGGGACCCGACGTTGTGTCTTTGGGAAAGGCACTTTACACGAATTTTCCTCACTTCACCCAGGTGGGAATGGGTGTCCGGCTTTAGACAGCGAAAGATCTTGTCAGTTTGTTAGTGTTTGAGCGCTTAATCGGCTGCTTGCACTGTATGCTTCCCGGGAAGCTGAGAATGTTTCTGAGTGTTCTATGGTCTGCTGGGGTAATAATGTAGTGTAAAGCGCATAGAGCCTGCTGTTGAGCGGGGATATATGCGCTATGCAAATGCTATCTATTATTATTATTATTATTACTTTCAGACATAATATCAATGCATCCAGCAATTATGACCAGTGTGTGTGTGTTGTGTGTGTGTGTGATAGGGGAGGAAGTTCCTTGTATTACTGGAAAGTTGAAGGCAATCAATCATTGCTGGCGGGTGAAAAACTATAAGCCTAGAGAATGCAGTTGAGTTACTAGTATTCAGTAAAGTCAGAAAGACTTCAAAGTAACTAAATCAAAGTTGGTCCCCAAGTTTTGGTCAAATAAAATAAAAAATTATAAGATTTCCGCTATCAGCGACCCAAAATTAGTCAAAATCAAGCGGGGAACACGATTTAATGCCGGATTACCAAGACATTTTTTTGGGTGTGTTTGTGTGTTTTGTCAAGGACTGAAACTTCAAGGATTAACTCATTCGCTACGTATTACTTTCGGCTTGTGGGCGAATTTTTTTTCGGGAGGGCGAAAAAGATGATGACTAGTGGGCAGTTAAAAGGTCTTTGGGGCAACAAATTCAAATAAATATCAACGTATTATATACCAACATTTTCAGTATGGTTTGTAGAATACATCTGTAATGTTTACTTATGTATTTTTCAACTTTGGTTCCTGTAAGAGACGATTATGCAACACACTTTTGATCAGATGCGGATAAAATTTGAAAATAACAAATTTATAATCTTTCATGAAGCTCCCAAAATATCTTTGCACCTAGCCAAATGATACATCAAAATAACCATAAATGAATACAGAACTGGAAAATATTGAAAAGTTTGCAGTTATTTACCTACATTCCGTAATATTATTTGTACATTTTGAACATAACATCCGATATTGAAAAAAAAATTTTTTTTTTATAATCTTGACAAACGATCAGAAACAGAAAAAAACCACCCTTATCTTATATGGAATGATTCAGAATTGCATTTGGAATAAACCTATTACATGTCTTAAGTGGCGCTTTTTGTGTAAATTCATCAAAAAGTAGTAATTTTGGGGAGAAAAAAATATTTTGACAATTTACTAGCACTCAAAAATATTGATTTCTCGATAACAGTGCATTGGCAATTTGAGTCCAATCGTATCAGTATTATAAAAAAGAGTCCTACATTTCGTTAGTGTGCAAAATTATGATATATATTTTGTTGTGTAAAATTACTAAGACTGGTGTCCGGGTTATAATTTTGGCATCGCGATAAAACAAAGTCGAATAAACTACGAAATCGCGTTTCAAAACTGAATCTAAATTTCCGATTTTCAGTGGAAATGCTTGATTCGGAAGTCAACATTATATTATGACCTTTATTTTAACATGGATATGTGGATTGGAAAGAATCCAAGCTAAAATTGAAGATCGGTTCTCGAGCCGCCGGGGGCGGCTTAGCGTACTGACGGCACTTTAGCCGCACCGCCCCCCATGGCTCGGCGTAGCGAATGAGTTAAAGAAAACTGTACGTCTAAATGGAACTTCTCTTTGACAAACTGCCAGTTCAACCATGACCCAGATCTAGCGTCTGTTGTTTCAACTGCCAGTTTGTCAGTGAATGAACTACACGCCTAAAGGGGCCCTAAAGATGTTTATTCTAGACCTAGCCTCCCTCTAAGCCAAGCTTAATCGACTCTAGCCAGGCTAGAGCCAGCTAGATCTAGAATCTATATCATGACGAAAATAGGCTAGCTTTCAACTGCTTAACTCACTTCAGACGGTTCACGCAACAGTTGCGTGACCCTCGCAGCAGTTCTCGCAAGCCTGCGTGATCAACTTTGTTGTTTTTTTCTTCCGCTATACAAATCATGCACGCGTCGCGTGATCTGTCTCGTGCCCTTGTTTGGCCAGTCCTGAGCTACTCAGGCTTAGTTTCGTATCTCTGGGGCCGATAGTTTTTAAGTTATTGAAGGTGAAGGACAGTCACGCCAACTAGGGTTGAACTGACCAAAACTCGGACCATGTTTTTTCTATACAGCTGAACGCGCATCAAAAAGTAATCATTTAGAAGAATCTGAAATCGTTGGCGGGATAAAAGCGAGTATCCCTAAACGGGACCGCAATTGTACAAGAGTGCCCCGCGTTGGACAGGTCTCCGTTTTATACAGGAAATTAGAGAGGAATATATCAAGGGGGGAGCAGGGGGAGATTCCAAAGGCTAAGGCAGGTTCGACTGTACTCCCAAAAACGCCAGTCATCATCAAAGCTTGTGACTGGTGAAAAGGACCCAGTAGTCAGCGAGTTATTTCGTCATACTGGATACCAAGGGTCATGTAAGATTTCTCCCAGTAAAATTGAAGAATAGCAGACCACCTGCAGAGAATACTTTTTTTGGAACTAAAAACTGTCGCAAACTAGATTCTAAGCCCTAGATCTAGATTCTAGATCAGTAGGCTATCTATTATTTTGGGAGGACTTCCGTAACGAGCGACCACTATGACTTATGACATGAGACAGCAGATTTGAGGGTGATCTTGTAGTTCCGTTCGTTAAAGTCCACGATCCATTTGTTTACATCCAGAGAAGAAATCCAGAAGTCTTGATGACCAAATACTATTGGAAATGGTAGCGTCAATTGCCACCAAGTGACGCAGTGACAATTGACAAAAATTGACTTTTTTTTGTGTCAATTGCCACCAAGTGAAGCGGTGTCAAGTCTGAAAACCACACTATCTTTAGCATTATACGTGTGTCTAATGGGTCGATTTGTTCTCAACTAATTTCATTGGACGAGCATCTAGTATAGAGCTACGGTACCAACTTGGCGTGTTTTCAATGAGACGTAGGCCTAGATCTAGGCTAGCCTTAGCCTACACTACACTTTGGTGTAGAACCAACACAGGCAAGACTCTAGAAGTAGAAGGTTACAAACGCACACACAAACTCAAGCAGAAATTCACGTTATATATCGGGGAACATAAATCGGGGGACAGGGGTCAGGAAAAGACACACACATACACACACAGACACAGAGGGACAGAGAGGCGAACGCACAACACCGAGCACTCGACCACAAAAAGCTAGATCTAGATCTACGAACCAACGCAAAAGAGCTCCAATTTACTCGGGGGAAGATTGAAGAATACCGGACCACTCGTACATTATTGCGCGAGAAAGTGGGGTAGGTGGGGCGGGTGGTTGGGGTGGAGGAGGAGGGAGGGGGGTTTCAGGGGGGTCTCCCCCCTGACAAAATTTCAATGAATAGATCTAGATTCTAGATCTAGAATCTAGATTCTATATCTAGATCTAGATCTAGATCTACCGGTCCCAGATTCTCCACTGAGAGATATTAAAAACGGGAAAATTATGAATTCCTAAGGTTGAGACATAGGCAAAGTCGGTCCGCTATTCTTCAATCTTACCTTACTCTGTGGCAATTGACAAAAAGTCAATTTTTGTCAATTGCCACCGCGCACTTGACACTACCATTTGAAATAGATAGGCTACACAAAGAGAAGGGGGGTGCAACCTCCTAATTGCAAAACATCAAATTAGGATAAAATTCCCTGAACTCTGAATCTAGATCTAGAGTCTGATCTAGATCTAGATCTATATCTATATCTACTGGTGGTCTGCTAATGTTCAAAGAGGCTCTTCTCCCAACCTAAAGCAATCTTTAAGATAATTAGCACCAAAAGAAAATAGCAAACAAGAACAATACAGGAAACATTCGTTTTTTCATTCCACCGGCGCCGAGCGATTGTTTACAAACTCAGACACCGGGATCGTACCGGCGGAATTACAATAATGAAAAAAAAAGCCGTAAAGGCCAATAAGGAAAATATGACAGTATCAAAAACGATTAAGCACTAACGAAGACTTACAATTATATAAACTCGCAACAGCTTATGAGACTGCTTTGGATGATACTAGATTATTCCCTCTCTCACTCCTTTCAGTTCCAGTTTCACTTTTCCAAACGCTTTGCCGACGAAGAGAGAGACGCGACACCGTTCTTCGAAAGTGTGACCTGGGTCTTGTCCTCTCTCTCTCTCTCTCTCTCTCTCTCTCTCTCTCTCTCTCTCTCTCTCTC